TAAAATCATTGCAAAAAATTGTAGGTGATAGATTGTCCTGGTAGATAGCACATTCCTCTTCGATCCATTCAACGTCATTGCGTTTCGAATAAACCCTCACTTCTTCTCGTCATGTAGTTTAGATGATAATATCATTTATAATAAAGAAACCATTTTAGAGAGCATGTTTCTCAACTGTTTTGTGCTTCGTCAAGGTGATTTGCTAGGCGTTGGTGAGTCCAAAAGGCACCATAATTGGGGAGGAGTTGGTTTGATACCTGTTCCTTCTCATTCTTATTCATGACTTCCTTGATTCAAAGTAAACATGCCAAAAGCTTAACTTCCTATAATCTTAATTCTTCGTGTTATATCGTGATACATAAGATATCAAACAGTTGAAAAGTAATATAAGTGACGCAATTAGACCATATATGGAAAATTTGACATTCGTCAGAATGTGAGCATCCAACTTAAAATCAATTGACAATAAAAGAGAAACCCAAATTATACAAACTACTTACGCAAAGCTTTCTTTTCAACATGAGAAAACTTTCAATGCCCTCTAACACATCATAAGAAAAATATCACTAGATCAAATCCACATGTCAAATGCATCAATTCATGAATCTATGCTAGAAACTAGAAAAAAAAAGTGAACAAGTAAATGAGAGTTCGAAAGCATTTTTAATGATTGAAAACGGTTCACGCCAGCCTAAAGCCCAAGCCCAAGAGCCCAACTCAATCTTTCAAACCGGGTCCGACAAAACCAGGCACAGTCCAAAACGTCAACCGACTCTGCTACGTGTCAATCAAGATCATCCCTGCTGTCACAATCGGACGGCCCACATCCCTGCGTCACATTGAAGCTAACATAATAATGTGCTAGGGTCTCTGAAAAGGCTCTGACTACATAAACCCTAATCAAATCTCAACTCGTTCCCTCTCTCTCTCTCTCTCTCTCTCTCTCCCTCTCCCTCTCTCTCCCTACTCGCCCTGCTCTCCGCGCCACTCACAGCGCTAGACTCAAATGGTAAGTCCTTGCTTTTTTTTTTCGGGAAAATTTCTGTCCGATTCTTTTGATCTTTGTATTTTCTGTTTGGCTGCTGAGAAAACCGATTTTTTACTAATTTGTTTATAAATTTTGGGTGAAATTTTGCAGGCTTTGCCGAATCAGCAGACCGTGGATTACCCGAGCTTCAAGCTCGTCATCGTCGGCGATGGTGGAACAGGTATGCCTTTCATTTTCTCTTCCGATTCATGATCTGTTTGGTTTCTCAGAAAATTTTCGTTTTCTGAATTTTTTTTTCTTGGACAAAATGGATTGGTTTCTGAGCTCAAGTGAGCCAGATGCAAACTTTGTCGCTTGGAAAATATGGAGTTTGATTAGTTGTAGCGAAATTGTAACTGTGAAGTTTGGATTTTTGAGTGGTTATATAGTTGTAGGGTGATTCCTCATGATGTTGATCACATTACTGCAAATCGATAATAGCAGTGGAAATGAACTAAGAGTACATCTAAACCTCTCGCTTCTCTAGAAATTGTTTACTGGGGTTTCGGTTCTTGAACTTTGTTATGATGATTCAAATGCAAATGCGGCTTAAATAATATGTTTGGTGGTTTGATACTGTCTCGGTGTAATAAGGTTTTTGTTATTTGTGATTGTGGACATTTTCTTTTTCAAACTGTGGTTTAAGTTTGTAACTTTGACAATATGGATTGAGTAATTTGTTTGTAATTCCGTGGTTTTTCCCTGATTGAAACTTTTCTGTCGATGCAGGAAAGACAACCTTTGTGAAGAGACATCTTACTGGTGAATTTGAGAAGAAATATGAACGTAAGTATCTTGCGTACCACTTTTCCCTTTTGAGTTGGTCTTTTTTTTTTTGGACTGTTCCCTTGCCATTTTGTGATCTATGTAACTCATTCACATTCTTGTTTAATCGACAGCAACTATTGGTGTGGAGGTTCATCCATTGGACTTTTTCACCAACTGTGGAAAAATTCGATTCTACTGTTGGGATACAGCCGGGCAGGAGAAGTTTGGAGGTCTTCGAGATGGATACTAGTGAGTATTTTTTAGTTTTTTTTTTTTTTTAATTTCTGGCTGGAGTTTGTTATCAAGCTTGTTTGCTTTTGTTTTTTGGCTGTGTTTTGAGTACAAGTATTCTGCTTTCTAAATTCTTATCAGCATTAAGCGTTACTTGAGATTTGGTTTGTTGGATCTGTCAAAGTCTAAAGCTGGTGCTTATTCTTGTATAGTGCTAATTCAATGTTGTTTTTTTAGTCGAATGATTACGTGCTTCATTGAGATGTGATAATGCAAATCGTGATGACGAAACCTTTGTTTTATTGATTATGACTAAGAATAGTTTAATCCGACCTTGTTGAAAGGATTCTTTATTATGCTTTATACTCTATGCATTCATGTCATTATCTGTAGTTTTTGTTCCTGGTGGATGCATGAACATTTTGTAGTTATTAGTCACCATGCATGTTTTATTGTTATCCCCAAAATGTGACATTTTCTTACTGTGGTTTTGAATTACATTGTTGTACAGCATCCATGGGCAATGCGCTATAATCATGTTTGATGTTACTGCTCGGTTGACATACAAGAATGTTCCTACATGGCACAGGGATCTTTGCAGGTTTGCATGCAAATTTTTCATTATTTGTTATCGCATGGATTTCACCCAATGAGGTTTCGGGTTTGATATTAACTTTTTTGGGGTTACCGTGTTTTGAATTCCAGAGTGTGTGAAAACATACCCATTGTTCTTTGTGGAAACAAGGTTGATGTGAAGAACAGGCAGGTCAAGGCAAAGCAAGTTACTTTCCACAGGAAGAAGAATCTGCAGTACTATGAGATATCTGCTAAGAGCAATTATAACTTTGAGAAGCCTTTCTTGTACCTTGCCAGAAAGCTTGCAGGGTAAAATCTTTAAGTTGTAAATAAATGTATTTTTCTTGTGACTTTTGGAAGTGCAGTTTAAGTTACTGAAAGTGTGGCTTGTTGTAGGGATCCTAACTTGCATTTTGTCGAATCCCCTGCCTTGGCTCCTCCAGAAGTGCACATTGATCTTGCTGCACAACAACAGTAAGTCTTCTTTCGTAACCAAAGTTTCTCTCTCTCTCTCTCTCTCTCTCTCTCTCTCTCTCTCTCTCTCTCGCTCGCACACACACAACCCACACTTGCACACACACGTCTAATGTAGTGACTAGGAATATAGAGATTTGTAAAAAAGGCAAACGGTTTATGATTGGACTCGGCGCATTGGTGTTGGTACTTTTTGATGAGTTGTTGGAAACAGGAGCTTACGTTTGATTTTGTAATTGATAATACAGGCACGAGGCTGAGCTTGCTGCAGCTGCTAGTCAGCCCCTTCCTGATGATGATGATGAAGCATTCGAGTAGATGTGGAAGTTGTCGTCTGGTTGAGAGTTCCCTTATTATTGTTCGTGGTCTTCGGACCATTTGTTTTTTTTTTTTTTTCTGAAACTTCTGGTATTGTTGTTTGTAAGTGTTGATTTTCCTGGTCAATTGAGGATGTGAATTGGAGAATGCCAAGTTCTTTTGATTTTGAATTGGCTTCGTATCCAGCCATCTTCCGACATTTTGTTCAATCTATATTATGCAGTGCCGTTCTATTGCTATGTAGCCTATCTTTTCAGAAAACTTTTGTGGAAGATGCTGTAGGATTCGTAACCGTTTGGTTTGGGCCCAAGAGCCCGAACCAAATGTTAAATAATAGTATGGTTTGGTACAGTTCGGTTTCTTTGAGGGATATTGTCAAATCCAAATTGAACTGATACCGGTATAATGTAATTTTGGTTCAAGCTAGCAATCGGCTAGATTGGAAACTTGCATTTAGGCGAGATTGAATCTAGTGAGAAGCTTCTCACTAAAGCAATCCGAGTTACAGATTTGACTTAAGACTCAGTCGGCAATTGAGGAAACCAGCCACATAGGCAATGAGAAGCATAGTTCACGTCATTGATCTGCTTGCTTTGTTGCCTAACCATTAGGATGCTCTAGATTTCTACTATAAAAAAGAAACCTAAACCGGATAAGGCGAGAAGTGTTACGCCTGAAATGGCTTTGGACAAGGCTTAACAGCTTGTGAGGTTTGATTGGGTTTTGCTCAAACGGCTAGTAAAATAGCACGAAAAGACTGAGTAGGTTCATGAGTAGGCATGATAACCACTCCTTTGATGAGCCACTAGCAATTCAGCTTAAAGAGTGGCATGCTACTTCTTGCAGGCAAAACAGGATCACCCTGTTCTACGCCTTTTTAGAAAACACAACCTATGAATAATTGAATTGCAACATGCAAAGGCACACAATTTGAGCATTAGTTTATAAAGCGCCATTGGCGCGATATGCAAGCTTTGAACACTTTTCGTTTCGAGGATTTTTATTTTGTTGTTTTTTTAGAACTAGGACTTTTTGTTGTTGTTGCATATATTCCTCAAAGTGCTGGCATATCGCTTGCTATCCTGTAATTGTAAGTTGTTTCAATATATAGAAGCATCATGTTCTTTGGTTAATTAGAATCTTGAACATAAAAACCAAATCACAATTATCTTGGAATTATTTGTTTTGTTCAACTTCTGTAAACCAGAGGATTTTGGCACCTTTGATTATATTTGACACTTACGCAATGTTCCTTTTCTGGACTTTCAGTATCAAGGACAGTGTGCCATATGCACAAAAATGTCCCCACATGGCACCGTGATATCTTCAGGTTTGTTACTTGAGATTTATTTATCCCCTTTATTAATATTCTGTGTTTTTGGTTTAGTAGTTTTTGGCCAGGAAGCTTGCAGGATAATTTCTGCATCATTTATTTCAATGAATTTTCAACTTTTTCTTTTAGGTTTGGATCGTTTTTCTCTCGGTTTTATTTACCTTCTCGTGGGCTGAAAGTTAATATTCTGTCACTTCCGTTTGTCTCTGCAGAAACACCTAGCTGCATTTTGGTGAATCACCTGCTCTTGCCCCTCCAGAGGTTCAAATTGACATGGCTGTACAGGCAAAGTAAGGGATAGACCCCATTAACTGTTAAAAAAAGGGAAAATATAGTGTGAATAATTTTTTAAATTCAATTTAAATTAAACGAATTCCAGAGTGTGTGAAAACATACCCATTGTTCTTTGTGGAAACAAGGTTGATGTGAAGAACAGGCAGGTCAAGGCAAAGCAAGTTACTTTCCACAGGAAGAAGAATCTGCAGTACTATGAGATATCTGCTAAGAGCAATTATAACTTTGAGAAGCCTTTCTTGTACCTTGCCAGAAAGCTTGCAGGGTAAAATCTTTAAGTTGTAAAATAAATGTATTTTTCTTGTGACTTTTGGAAGTGCAGTTTAAGTTACTGAAAGTGCGGCTTGTTGTAGGGATCCTAACTTGCATTTTGTCGAATCCCCTGCCTTGGCTCCTCCAGAAGTGCACATTGATCTTGCTGCACAACAACAGTAAGTCTTCTTTCGTAACCAAAGTTTCTCTCTCTCTCTCTCTCTCTCTCTCTCTCTCTCTCTCTCTCTCGCTCGCACACACACAACCCACACTTGCACACACACGTCTAATGTAGTGACTAGGAATATAGAGATTTGGAAAAAAGGCAAACGGTTTATGATTGGACTTGGCGCATTGGTGTTGGTACTTTTTGATGAGTTGTTGCAAACAGGAGCTTACGTTTGATTTTGTAATTGATAATACAGGCACGAGGCTGAGCTTGCTGCAGCTGCTAGTCAGCCCCTTCCTGATGATGATGATGAAGCATTCGAGTAGATGTGGAAGTTGTCGTCTGGTTGAGAGTTCCCTTATTATTGTTCGTGGTCTTCGGACCATTTGTTTTGTTTTTTTTTTTTCTGAAACTTCTGGTATTGTTGTTTGTAAGTGTTGATTGTTAATACCAATCAAATGTTAAGTATATATTATACAACAATTTGCACAGTTTTATTTCGAATGGTAAAACTCAACAACAAATACAATATATTAAAACATAAACACGTAATGAGATTATATATAAAATCACAAATCACTGACTTGTTTCTTGAAGATAGAGGCTTGCAGAAGCAATCTCCTAAGATAGAAATTCGTCCCTACTTCAGTGCAGCAGTTCAATGGACGTCTATCTTGCAGGATACAACTATCTAATCCAAGTTCTTGCACTCGAACTTGGATTCTTGGCGAATTGATTGTGTGGTTCTCAGCGAAATATAGAGGAATGAATATTGAAAAATTGATTCTCGTTTCTGATTTTTATTGCCATATATATAATGGCATAATTTGAACTTCTCCAACCGTTCATGCTTATCAGTTTTTGTAAAAAGAAAACCGAATGCAACTGTTCAATAAAAACTGATCGTAACTGTTCAATCAGTTTTATCCTTTCGGAAAAAACTGAATCCAAAAAATAAAAAACGTAACTTGTGTTTTTCGTCCATCCGAGCCCAAGAGCCCCAAGGCCCAAGGCCCATCTTTGACATTTAATATATACACCCAAACTCTCCAATTCTAAGGCCCAAGGTCCATGGCTTTGGCCCAATTCATTTCAAACTATAAGTGAGTGAACTCACTTATAAAGACTTAATATGATAGGTGTTTGGGCGATGTGGGACTCCAAGTCCCACATAAAACACAAGTTCCAACAATACCCCACATTTTCTATTCAAACTTTAGCAATACCCCACATTTGAATTGAAAATAAGATACTAGCTACATTAGTAATGTACTTCCAGAGAACTTAGATATGATACGCATCGGGATAGGTGTCTTTTGGACTTGAACCTTCTCTAGTGAGTACTTATCGGTTTTACCTAATGACGCAGTGAATTTACTATCTTGAACTGATCATTTTTTGTAGTAAAATCGAAATAATAAGTATCACACATATCACATCTGAACACACGTCAATTCATACGGTTGAGTTCATTTTGGTCCTGAACATATCCTGATTTCATGAGACCTTTAGAGAATTGTAGCCATACCAATTCTCAAAGATGCGACCCCACATCAATCTCATATAGGTAATGCTAATAAAGAATATCCTGTTCTATTCATCTTAATCATAAGATATTAGCATTATTAAGAATAGTTATTCACCCTTTTCGTCTAACAGGCAACACACTGTTTTCCATCATAAGAATGAGTAAAGATTGTGTGTTTCTTACTTTGAGTTTCCCTCAACTAGTTTGCCTATTGAACCTAGACCATGGGATCTCCAATTAGCTAGGTTAGGTTTCCATCAAGTTATAACTCATTGAGTTGGCTTTAAACCCATTCCCCTCGATGTAAATGCCACTTGATCCTTGGATAGGCCTTTTGTCAAAGGATCGGCAATATTCTCCTTAGATTTAATATAATCAATGGAAATAGTTCCATTCTTGAGTAGTTGTCTAATGGTTTTATGTCGTCGCCTTATATGTCTCGACTTCCCATTATATTCAGCGTTTTTGGCTCGACCTTGTGCAGCCATGCTGTCACAATGTATACATATTGCAGTCACAGGCTTGGGCCAGAATGGAATATCTTCCAGAAAATGTTTAAGCCATTCAGCTTCATCAGCAGCTGTATCTAAGGCTATAAACTCTGATTCCATTGTCGAACGTGCTATACATGTTTGCTTGGATGATTTCCATGACACAGCTGCTCCACCAAGTGTAAATACATATCCACTTGTGGATTTACTGTCTGTGCTCCCTGAAATCGAATTTGCATCACTATATCCTTCTAATACTGGGGGATATTGAGTGTAATGCAAACCATAGTGCATTGTATGCTTTAAGTATCTTAATACCCTTATTAAAGCATTCCAATGATCTCTTCCAGGATTACTTGAATACTTACTTAGTCGGCTTATTGAATAAGCAAGATCAGGTCTTGTACAATTCATAATGTACATCAAGCAACCTATAACTTGGGTATACTCCAATTGAGATACGCTCTCTTCTTCGTTTTTAGTAAGTTTATGAATGGGATCAAAAGGAGTTACTGCAGGTTTACAATCATAATGTCCAAACCTTTTTAGAACCTTTTCCACATAATGTGATTGAGTTAGGACATATCCATCTGAATTCCTTAGAATTCGAACTCCAAGAATCACATCAGCTAACCCCATATCTTTCATGTCAAAACTAGAATTTAGCATTTTCTTTGTGGAGTTAATCACATCTTTGTTTGTTCCCATTATAAGCATGTCATCAACATATAGACATACAATAACACAAGCATTTTTCGTTTTCTTAACATAAATGCATTTATCACTTTCATTGATTACAAATCCATTTGTAATCATATTATGATCGAATTTTTCATGCCATTGCTTAGGCGCTTGTTTGAGTCCATATAATGACTTAATCAACTTGCAAACTTTCTTTTCTTGACCTTTGACAATGAAACCTTCAGGTTGATCCATATATATTTCTTCGTCTAATTCACCATTTAGAAATGCAGTCTTGACATCCATTTGATGTATCTCAAGATTGTACACAGACGCTATAGCTATAAATAACCTTATAGATGTTATTCTAGCTACTGGTGAATAAGTGTCAAAATAGTCAAGTCCTTCTTTTTGACGATACCCTTTGGCAACTAAACGAGCCTTATACTTGTCGATGGTACCATCCGGTCTTAATTTCCTCTTGAAAATCCATTTGTGTCCTATTGGTTTATTTCCAGGAGGCAAATTAACCAATTCCCATGTATTATTTTGCATGATGGATTCTATTTCACTTTGAATAGCTTCTTTCCAATAAGGTGCTTCAGACGATACTAATGCAGCCTTATAAGTTTGAGGCTCTTCTTCGGTCACAAAAGTGAGGAAATCAGGACCAAAATCCTTTGCAATTTTTGCTCTTTTACTCTTTCGTGGTTCCAAATCTTGGATTTGAACTCTCGAAGTTGAGGCATGATTATCGTTACCATTTCTTGTAGTAACCTCATGTACTCTTTTGTTCAAAACATATGACCTATCTTTGTAAGGAAAAATTTCCTCAAAGAACTCAACTTCTGCAGATTCAAGTATAGTGTTTATATGAATGTCTGCAATTTCAGATTTATGAACCAAAAATCTATATGCCGAACTATTATTGGCATGACCAATAAATATACAATCCACTGTTTTTGGTCCAAGTTTTTGTCTCTTCGGAAGAGGCACTTGAACTTTTGCAAGACAACCCCACACTTTTAAGGTTTTATATGTAGGTAACCTACCTTTCTAGATTTCATAAGGAGATTGATTAGTCTTCTTATGTGGAATTCGGTTCAAAATCGTGTTTGCAGCAAGGAATGCCTCACCCCATAAATTATGTGGTGCACCAGAACTGTTCAACATGGAATTAATCATATCCTTCAATGTACGATTTTTCCGTTCAGCCACTCCATTTTGTTGAGGAGTATATGGTGCTGTTGTTTGATGTATTATTCCATGTGTTGAACAAAATTCTGCAAAGTCATTAGATTCGTATTCACCACCTCTATCCGATCTTAAGACCTTTATTCTTTTGTCTAGTTGATTTTCGACTTCGGCTTTAAATGTCTTAAACATGTTTAAAGCTTCATCTTTACTATGAATCAAATAGACATAACAATACTTGCTGCAATCATCAATGAAGGAAATATAATAGTTCTTTCCTCCACGAGTTGGTGTGGATTTGAAATCACAAAGATCACTATGGATTAAACCAAGTATTTCGTTGGATTTTTCCACTGATTTATATGAGTGTCTTGCATATTTAGATTCTGTGCATATCTCACATTTAGATACTTTGTTCATGGAACATTTTGGCAATAGGCCTAAGTTAACCATTCTTTGAAGAGAACGAAAATTAACATGACCTAATCTTGCATGCCATAATGTAGAGGACTCAATCAAGTAAGCAGAAGAAGCACTTGGCTTGTTATTATTATTCATAGCATTAACAGAAAGTACATTCATTTTGAAGAGCCCCTCAGCCAGGTAGCCCTTTCCCACATACATCCCACCTTTGGTGATTACAAACTTGTCAGATTCAAACGCAATTTTGAAACCTTTGTTACTCATAAGTGATCCAGAAATCAGGTTCTTACGAATATCTGGAACATGCAGAACATTGGTAAGTGAAAGCTCTTTTCCGGAAGTGAGTTTGAGCGTCACTTTTCCCTTCCCTGCAACGGCAGACGCAGTTGCATTTCCCATGTACAGATTTTCTCCACCATCAACAGATTGGTAAGTAACAAATAAATTTCGATCAGCACACCCAAGACCCATCTTTGACATTTAATATATACACCCAAACTCTCCAATTCTAAGGCCCAAGGTCCATGGCTTTGGCCCAATTCATTTCAAACTATAAGTGAGTGAACTCACTTATAAAGACTTAATATGATAGGTGTTTGGGCGATGTGGGACTCCAAGTCCCACATAAAACACAAGTTCCAACATTGATTTTCCTGGTCAATTGAGGATGTGAATTGGAGAAGGCCAAGTTCTTTTGATTTTGAATTGGCTTCGTATCCAGCCATCTTCCGACATTTTTTTCAATCTATATTATGCAGTGTCGTTCTTTTGCTATGTAGCCTGTCTTTTCAGGAAACTTTTGTGGAAGATGCTGTAGGATTCGTAACCGTTTGGTTTGGGCCCAAGAGCCCGAACCAAATGTTAAATAATAGTATGGTTTGGTACAGTTCGGTTTCTTTGAGGGACATTGTCAAATCCAAATTGAACTGATACCGGCATAATGTATTTTTGGTTCAAGCTAGCAATCGGCGAGATTTGTAACTTGCATTTAGGCGAGATTTGAATCTAGTGATAAGTATTCTCACTAGACAGCAATACCGAGTGACAGATTTGAACTTGAGACCATTTTCAATGATGCAGGCAATTGAGAAGATAAACCCATTTTGATGAGCCACATAGGCAAATGAGTAAGCAATATTTCACGTCATTGCACTACAATCTTGCTTGCTTTGGTTGCCTTTACCATTAGGGATGCTCTAAGATTTCTCACCTATTAAAAAAAGAAACATCACTAAACCGTAGTATAAAGTTGCAGAAGAAAGTTTTAACTCACGTAGCACAGTTCATGGCCTTTGACAGACAAAGTCAAAAGTCCTTTAACAGGCTTTGATGAGGTTTTGATTGGGGTTTGTGCTTCTCAAAACCTGTTTCTAGTAAAAGCATAGCACCTCGAAACAAGACTTGATTCTAGTAAGAGCATATTCAATGGAGTAGACAAATGAGTAACCAAACTCCTTTTGATGAGCCACATAGGCAAATTCAAGCTTAAATTGAGTTGGCAATGTTGCCTACTTTCACATGTGCAGGCAAAACTAGGGTTAGGGTTCTACCACTGTTCTATCGAGGCCTTTTTAGAAAACACCACACCTATGAATAATGAATTGCACATGCAAAGCAACATCTATGAGAATTAGTAAAGCGCCATTGGAGCGACTACGAAGCTTTGAACACTTTTCTGTTTCGAGATTCTCTTATTTTATTGTTTTAGAACTTAGGATTTTTGTTGTTGTTGCATATATTCCTCAAATTGCTGGCATTATTATTCTTCTATCCGTAATGTACGTGTTTCAATATATAGAAGCATCGTGTTCTTTGGTTAATTAGAATCTTCAACATAAAAACCAAATCACAATTATCTTGGAATTATTTGTTTTGTTCAACTTCTGTAAACCAGAGGATTTTGGCACCTTTGATTATATTTGACACTTATGCAATGTTCCTTTTTTGGACTTTCAGTATCAAGGACAGTGTGCCATATGCACAAAAATGTCCCCACATGGCACCGTGATATCTTCAGGTTTGTTACTTGAGATTTATTTATCCCCTTTATTGATATTCTGTGTTTCTGGTTTAGTATTTTTTGGCCAGGAAGCTTGCAGGATAATTTCTGCATCATTTATTTCAATGAATTTTCAACTTTTTCTTTTAGGTTTGGATCGTTTCTCTCTCGGTTTTATTTACCTTGTCGTGGGCTGAAAGTTAATATTCTGTCACTCCATTTGTCTCTGCAGAAACACCGAGCTGCATTTTGGTGAATCACCTGCTCTTGCCCCTCCAGAGGTTCAAATTGACATGGCTGTACAGGCAAAGTAAGGGATAGACCCCATTAACTGTTAAAAAAAGGGAAAATATAGTGTGAATAATTTTTTAAATTCAATTTAAATTAAACGAATTGATTTGTTAAGCATATTAGGGAAGTAGGTGCCACGTGTATGGACAAAATTCAAGCGGAGAATTTAAGCGGGACTGGAATCCAACGGCGGAAAAATAGCTTTGAATCAAAGCCGAACCTCTGGCGTGCTTTTTCCGCGTCCATCCGATATAAAACCCGCAAGTCCTTCACCTTCTTCAGTACTACTGTTCTCCGCAGAATTCAAACCCTTCCCTCTCCTCCAAACCCCTATATCAAATCACATTCTGCAGCTCTCTTGCTATGGTAAGCAATCTCTCTCTTCTCTCTAGGCAGTTCGATCGCTAGGGTTTTGTTCTGATCGAAAATGATCATTGTTGTATTTGATTACAGGCTCTTCCGAATCAGGCAACTGTATATTTACCCAGCTTCAAGCTTGTCATCGTCGGCGATGGTGGAACAGGTACACGTTTTTCGCTTTTCTCTTTGTTTAGCTTCAATATCGTCTTTTTCCTATTTTTTGTTCATTCTGATATAAGATTTTGTCAAACCCTAACTTTTGCTGTATTTGTTGGGTGCAGGGAAGACCACTTTCGTGAAACGCCATCTGACTGGAGAGTTCGAAAAGAAATATGAACGTTAGGAAGATAAATTCCTTTTATTATCTCTGCGTGATTGCCAGTGACTTTTGGGTTTTTTTGTGTGTGAAATTTGGATTTTTACTGTGTGGCTTGGCGAATTGCAGCAACGATTGGTGTTGACGTTCATCCGTTGGACTTCTGCACAAATTTTGGGTGGATCAGGTTCTGCTGCTGGGACACAGCTGGTCAGGAGAAGTTTGGTGGACTTCGAGATGGTTATTAGTATGTCGTCTTACCACAACCCTCTATTTTAATTGCATCCTGTTCATGATTAACTGTAATCTGTTGGGGTAAAAAAACTTAGAGTACATAACTCTAGCACAAGTGTTGGAGAGACAATACAAGTAAACAAATTACTTGTATTACACAAACAAAATATTACAACACAAACTATCAAAGACACTCTTGAGAAGCTATGACACTCACTCACTTTCTAGAGACAAACTCTAGAGCACTCACACTCTTACAAGACTATTCTTTCTTCTCACTCTCACTTGCTTGCTTGCTTACAAGCTTGCTTGTTGATTTGTTGATTTGTTGATACAAATGGTGTGGATGCCTTCTCCTTTTATAGGCATGGATGGAACCTTGGAGAAGCATGGACACACAATGCTAGAGATATCTAGATAATTCCACTAACTTCCCAAGCTAGAATTATCTACACTAATCTTGCATGTTGGTGGAAACCTCACCATTCTTCTAGACTCTTCCACCAACTTAAGAGACAACATTCTAGTCATTTCTACAAAGTACTACTTTAACTTGGATAATCTAGCTAACCAACCTTAGTGAATGTTCTAGAATTCTTTATTCTAGATTTGTGTAAGTCCTTTAATGAGATGGGGTTGATTTCTTTAACATAATCTATATTTCATTGTGCTTTTGACATATGTTATGCCTAACCATTGAATTTAATCAAATTATCTAGGAATTATATACATCTTCAGTCCTTACACCAAAGTAAGGTGCAGTTAATGGTTTTGTAGCCATTGTTTGTCTATCGTTGTCTATTGTTTGGATCTGCCCTTATCTTTGAATCTTCTTTTCTCCACTGTTTGAATAGGTTGATGTCTATTGCTACTGCACTTAATACTTACATGATCTGCTATTTTTCTTGATTTTCAGTATTCATGGAGAGTGTGCCATCATCATGTTTGATGTTACTGCTCGTTTGACATACAAAAATGTCCCGACGTGGCAGCGCGATCTCTGCAGGTGTGTTACTTGAGATTTATTTACTGTTTTCTTAGTATTCTGATTTTCCAGTTTTGTCTTCCTTCTACCCTTTTTCTGTTTCCTTCAGCTGTTCCCCCTTTCCAGTTTTCTTAACTTGAAGGTCTTCTAAGTTCTATTGCCGTCCAGGGTTTGTGAGAACATACCTATTGTTCTGTGCGGAAACAAGGTAGATATGAAAAAAAGGCAGGTGAAAGCAAAGCAGGTCACCTTTCACAGGAAGAAGAATCTCCAGTACTATGAGATTTCTGCCAAGAGCAATTACAACTTTGAGAAACCTTTCTTATACCTGGCCAGGAAGCTTGCAGGGTAATTTATACATCATTTATTTCAATGAATTTGCCATATTTCTTTATGGTTTGGATTGTTTCCTCTCCCTGCGTTGTTTAACTTTCTCATGTGCTGAAATATGTTCCGTTGGTCCCTGCAGAAAAAATGATCTTCATTTTGTTGAATCACCTGCTCTTGCTCCTCCGGAGGTTCATATTGACATGGCTGTACAAGCAAAGTAAGTGATAGACCACCATTTTGATTAAAAAAGTTTGAACAAAAAGTTTCATGATCAACCCTAATATGATTAATAAGCATGGGATTTTTCAAAAGCAATTGTTAGCACGGTTTGGTGCGATAGTACATAATTGATGTTCTAGTTTTGATGAGAAATTCTTGCTAACACAAACTGGTGTGGTGGTGTTAACAGGCATGAACAAGAATTGAAAGATGCAGCTGCACAACCCCTTCCCGATGACGATGATGATCTGATTGATTCGTGATCTACTATATGATTCTACATTTTGTACTAGAGGAAAAGGCAGTGTGGTGTACTTTTGAATATGTTATCAATGTGACCTGAACTATAAAACTTTTTGCAAATTAAGTTGGACATTTTATGCTGTCAAATTTCCTTTTTCTCCCCTTATACATACTAGTTTAACTCCTCATTCAATAGAATGGACCAAAAAAGAACTTCTTATCAGTACATTTTCTCTACAGAAATCTTCATGAGTTACCAGCAAATACAAGCAAAGCTCTATGGAATTGACTTTGTGAAGTTGTTAAAAATTTCAGAATTAAAACATTGATTAAACAGAAAATAAGAGAAGTTGCTAAAAAAAAAAAAAAGAAACACTTAGAAATTAATATATAGTGATCAAGTTGTTAAAAATTTCAGAATTATAACATTGATTAAACAGAAAAATAAGAGAAGTTGCTAAAAAAAAGAGGAACACTTAGAAATTAATATATATTGCTAAATGTGTGATGTATAATGACTTGGTTAGAAATTAATTTTTGCACATGATCTGAATCAAGTTTCATTTATTCTGTTAAGCTCGTTGCAGTCGTATCCGTTTCGTGCTCGCACCACTATTAAGGATAATATTACCCTGAAACTACTTAGCCTGATTTCGGAGGCTAGAGAGATTTTGAGAAGACATTAACCAAACTAACATTTCTGCCCTAATAAGAACCCAGTTTTGTGGTATTTTTTCAATTTTGTCCTTTTTCTCTTGACTGACCTAAAAACAAGTCAATGACGACTTTGTCTACCATGATGTCGATGTCGACGAGGGGATGGACATAGAAAATAGAGAGGCTATAGCAATCACGACTTGCCTGTTGCTTGACCTAGTTTTATGGTGATGATATCGGTAGTGGTGATAATAGTGTAACAGAACTTCTATGGAGATATAAAAATAAATGAGTACTCATTAAACCCATTCGGTATCTACCACCTTCATCCCAGCAAGTTTCAACAAAAATTAAAAATTAAATAAAAAACTATGGCCTGGCCTACCCCTGTGAAATTTCCTGGCTCTACTCTTGAGCAGGCCAATTTGGACCACTCTCCTCGATAATTTGTTTATATAATTTATTGAGCAGGCCAATTTGGACCACTCTCCTCAATAATACGTTTATATAACTGGATCTCATTGATCACTCTTCACTCACCTCAAGCACTAAATACATAGTCAATACAACCTTATGGATAACCCCGTGAAGGTTTTTTCACTTCTCAGATTTCTAAGCATTGCGATAACAATTAGCATTTGCTTATGCAATGGAATTCTCATCAGTGCGCCTTGCAAAGAATATGAGAGACAAGCACTTCTGGTGTTCAAGCAAGACCTCAAGGGTCCTTCAAACCGGCTTTTATCGTGGGTTGGCGGCGAAAGAGACTGTTGCAACTGGACTGGAGTTGTCTGTGATAAAAAACCGGCCATGTCTGCGAGCTCCACCTCGGAAATTATTATTCAGATGAGGAATTTTCGAGCGAGAGTTTGTCCAGGTACAAGTCTTTGGGTGGTAAGTTAAATCTTTCCCTGCTCAATTTAAAGCATCTTAGCTACTTGGACCTACACAACAATGATTTTGAAGGCATAGAAATTCCAAGCTTCTTAGGTTCTTTGAAAAGTTTAAGATATCTCAACCTTTCGGAAGCAGGGTTTGGAGGTACAATTCCTCCTCAACTAGGAAACATCTTGAGTCTTCGCGCTCTTGGCCTGTTTGATAATGATCTTGTAGTTGAGAACCTTGAATGGATTTCTGGCCTCTCTCTTTTGCAACACTTGAACATTGCTGCTATAGATCTTAGCAAAGTATCACATTGGTTGCAGGGTAAAAACACACTCCCTCTCAGCTGGTAGAACTACATATGTCTGAATGTTTTCTGCATCTCCTACCAGGTGGAATTTCGAACATGACTAGTCTTTGAGTTCTTAATCTCGATTACAACTCTATCAGTTCTCCCATTCCTAACTGGTTGTATACTTTTAGCTATCTTGAAACACTAGTTCTTTCTGAAAATAACTTTCATGGTGAAATTTCGAGTTACATTGGAAACTTAACAGCCCTTGTCAATCTTGACATATTTGACAATCAACTTGATGGGAAAGTCCCAAACTCATTGGGAAACCTCTGTAAGCTGATGGTTCTCGATTTGTCAAAAAACAATTTCAGCGGAGGCGTTTCAGAAATATTTGAAAGCTTTTCTAGGTGCAGTTCAGGTCGCATGGTGTATTTGGCTCTATCAGATAATAATCTTTCAGGTCATCTGTCATACCAGCTTGGTAACTTCAAAAATTTAGGCCTGCTTGACTTTTAGAGTAATTCCATATCAGGTCCGATTCCAGTGTCCTTGGGAAATCTATCATGCTTAGAACATTTGAACATTTATAACAATCAATTAGAGTGTGTTGTCTCTAAAGTTCATTTCACTAATCTGACAAGACTAAGAGAATTTTCCGCGAGCGAAAATTCTCTGACTCTGAAAACTAGTCTGGATTGGTTTCCTCCCTTCCAACTATACACCTTGTATCTAAATTCTTGGCATCTGGAGCCATCAGAGTTGCCTGCATGGCTTCAAACTCAAACACAACTCCTTGCTCTTAACATGTCGAATACAGCGATTTCAGGAACCATTCTGACTTGGTTTTGGAACTTTTCTTCCGTTGGATTACTATTTGTGGATCTCTCTTACAATCAATTGTATGGCAAGATTCCAAATATTTTTGTAGCAAATATAGATTCCAGCTCTACAGCAGTAATTAACCTAGGTTCTAACTAGTTCAACGGTTCATTACCTCTATTTTCTTCCAATGTATCTTCACTAGATCTTTCCAATTCATCGTTTTCTGGAACTCTGTTTCATTTCCTATGTGACAAGACTGATGGGCCGAAACAACTTCAAATTCTTCGACTTCACAACAATTCTCTCATAGGAGAAATTCCCGACTGTTTGGACAATCTGCAAAACTTGGAACTTCTCAACTTAGAAAACAACAATTTGATTGGGAACATTCCAGCATCCGTTGGGCACTTAGGACTCCTTCTATTGTTGCACTTGCATAACAATCGCTTATCCGAAGAAGTACCTACTTCCCTACTAAAATGTGTGTCCTTGTTCCTTCTTTACCTTCACAATAATTAGTTTGTTGGAAGCATACCAACACGGATTGGTAAAAGCCTTTCACATTTGGGAGTCCTCAGCCTCCGTTCGAACATGCTTCGCGGCAACATTCCTCATGAACTGTGTAGTCTCCGAAAGCTCCAGATCCTGGACCTCACGGACAACAACCTCTTCGGAGCAATACCAACATGTTTCAACAATTTCACTGCCATGACAAACTTTTCAAACTCGGGAGGTCCCATTTTGTTCTACACTTGTTCACTTGGCGATTATGGTTTTTTTGAGGATTACGACATAGAGAATGCAATCTTGGTGAGCAAAGGTAGAGAAACGAAGTATACCAATAAGCTTGCTTTGGTGACAAGCCTGGACCTTTCAGACAATGTTATATCTGGAGAGATCCCTGAAGAGCTGACCAGCCTCATCTGCTTGCAATCACTCAACTTATCAAACAATCGTTTGGTTGGAAAATCCCTTCAAGGATTGGTGATATGAAATGGTTAGAATCTCTCGATTTTTCGATGAACCAACTTACTGGTCAGATTTCTGCAAGCGTGTCAAAGTTAACGTTTCTAAGTTACTTGAACTTGTCCGATAACAATCTGTCAGGGAAGATTCCGGTAAGTGCACAGCTTCAGAGCTTTGATCCGTCCAGTTTCCTTGGAAATAAACTTTGTGGACCTCCACTGGAGGAGTGCAGCACAAACCATGTTGAAGGTCCAAGTTCATCAGGTGATAGAAAGAGGGAGCATCTATTCGTTTACTCGAAGATGATTGGCTCTACCTGAGCTTGGGAATAGGGTTTGCATTTGGTTTTTGGAGTATTCTTGGCTTCTTATTGTTGAACATGCCATGGAGCACAAGGTTTTTGAGGTTCCAAAATAACATTGTAAACAAGCTTTATGCCATAATTCAAGAGAGCTATAAACCAACTTGGCTACGCCCATGTTTGCGAAGCTTTATGCTATTATTGTTGAATTTTCTTATTTATTAGATATAAACTGTACCAATACTTGTGTTTGTGTATGAGAGTCGAGTAATTTCCTTGCTAATTTCAAATAAATACACAATTACAATGATTATATTTCATATAAACAACTGCATAACAGTAGCCTGATTACAAAATGCTCATTATCTAAAGAAAAAAAGAAAATGGTTCGATTGGAACAGAAGATCCATGACAGCATTTTCTAGTTATTAACTCTTTAACAGCAATTCTTGAGCAATTTTCTGAAGGAGATAAGACCTGGTGTCGAAGGTACCTCGTACTGATGCGAACTAAATAAGCACACAAATTAAAACCCTCTTGTGACAATTGTAATATATGTATAAGTAGGGATCGTTCTTAACCAGAGATTAGGAGGGATTGCAAAATCACTTGGAAATTGACTCAAAAAACGTAAAATAATTTTAAAACACTAAACTAGACTCAAAGAATGCAAAACTAAACACTTAAAACACTAAAACAAACCAAAAGACTCAAACAGCACCCAAAACACTCAAAACTGCCTTAAAAACACATTATGGGCAGTTTTGAGCACTTTGACTACTTTGGATGAATTAGGGTAATAAAATGAATCAAAACACTTAGAAACACAAACTAAGACACTTTCTAACTAAATTGGACACTAAAGTAAAGGGGGATTGAAGTTTTGACGAAATTAAACTAAATGCACAGATTGTAATTAATGGCAGATTGTAAAGATGAATTTGATGAAAATATGGATGAAATGCTAACTAGAAGGTTCTTCTCCACACATGTTACACTTGGATACAAGATGATTTTCAGTTGGTCTTTTGATGAATTATGAAACTCAACACCCCGGGTTAATTAGGTCCGCTTAAATTAACCGTCAAGTTCTCCTTAAGTTAATGAATTAGATGGGACAGCGCACACGCAATTCAAAACATTCTCCAAAAGTCCTTTACGTGAAAAGCACAATAAAGATACAATCAAAGATCATTAAGCATCATGAAAACTATAAGTGTTGACGAGACATTCGTTACTATGATGAGCATGAAACTAGTGTCAAGAATTCATTTAACGCGATTGTTTATAAGCAACCTCCACTACTTGCGAATATAAGTTCATAACTATTAGGTGAAACTCACTTATATTCTAGCGTCATATTCATGCATGGAAATTAAGCGTGCACTCTCAATAAACATACACAAATAAGTTATCAATCAAGCAGTTAAACAAATTGAATCCACAACTCATGAAATTCCAACCAAAGGTAATTAATTCATATTGCAAGCATAAACATGGTTTCGAATCACCCCATAGCTAACTAGGGATTTAGCCTCTCATGTTCACAGAAAGAGAAATAAAATTGAATTTAAACATAACGAACAAAGGATTGATTACACCTAGAACGCCCAACGAATCCACTTGAATTTCTGCGCGTTTCAAGCCCTCTTTCTCCTTTCTTCTTGCTGCGGCAGAGATGGTGTGTAGTGATTTGGATGTTTTTCTGGTTTGGGAATGGGTTTAGGGAGGTTTGGTTGTGCGGCAAGGATGGGGGAAGGTGTATAAAGGTGTGGATGGTGGCTGGAAGGGTTGGTGATGGCTGCGGGAATGGTGGATTGTGGCTGGAATTGGTGGTGAATGCACGGATTGAATGGTTTGTTGGTGATGGTGGCTATGGCTGATGGGGGAGAATGGGAGAGAATGGTTGCGGCTTAGGGTGAATATGGATGGGGACTTGCAGCTGATATGGGAGGAGAAGAATGAATGATTTTTTAGAGCCTCCAAGGGTGCGGCTAAAGTTGTAAAATGTGTAGGGTTTCAGAAAATAAACCCTAGCTTATTATAATTAAATCAAAGGCTTACAAAATTAGGAAATTAAATCAGAAATATAAAGGTGCGGCTAGGATTGAATTTGGGAGAGAAATAGGTTTAATTCGGAAATAAAAGGGCAATGTGCGGCTAGGGTTTAGAAGCATGTGTTTTAAATGCAAACCTAGGACAAAATTGCCCTCCCTTGCACGGCAAGGGAAGGGAATTAGGGGAAAGGCACGGCATGGGTTTGAAAGTGGGCTAGGGCCTTGGTCTTGTGTACTAAAGTGCTACAAGGCCTACAAAGTGGCTAGAAAATACGGACGTTTGAGATTAGGAAAGGTTACCAAAATGGGAAACCTAGGGTTAACTTTCCTACTTCAAGTAGGAAACCTTGTTTGAGTAGGAATCCTCGTTTTGGTAGGAATTCATCGTTGGAGTAAGAATTCATTGTTTCTTCAAGTCTTCAACTCATTCATTCCTCTTTCGCTTCAAAAGACTCCAATTTGCATCTTCTTGCACACTTTGGCCTTATAACCTGAAAATACACAAAAGTAGCCTTAAACACTAAAATAACTAAGTAAACACAACATAAATGCACGAGAACAAGCTAATGAAGTCGCATGAATATGCTCCTATCACGTACATTATTAGAACTGCAAAAGAAAGCTCAACTGTCCTCAAGATCAATGTGACAAATCTGAATTTCGAACGCTTGACTGTAACATCTAGTCCGCTTAAAAAACGCATATAAAAAGAATTTGCAGTAGTAAATAGTGAACTTTTTGGAAGACTCCTTTTGGGTTGAAAAACGCAGACAAAAGAATGTAAAATGTAGCTTCAGGTTTTCATATTCCCTAGTAGCAAAATTTACCAGTAATACGGCACCCCGCAGACATGAAGAAAAAGAGATGCAAAATATAATGTTACAAACTAACATGGCAGCTGAGATGGCGTACCACGTATATCACACTATCCCACAGCATACATTCATGAGACTGCCATCTAGAGAAGTCTTTCGCGCCCACATCGTACCTATTTCATTACTCGAATCATAAACATCATGCAAGCTGCCAAAATTCCAATGGATTCTAAGCAGGTCTATGTGTACAACCAACCGAGCCCTCAAAAATGAACTTTATACTGCATGATCTTGTCAACAGAGGATTGAGAATTATATACAAAGAAATGTGTGCATTACCTTGTCAACGAATGATACTATGTAGTTGGGACAAATGGTTGTGATCTGAATTGATTCATTTATCTGAGCTCCAATACCAGCAATCAGTGTCTTATCATCATCTAATAACATGTGAAATTCCTTGAAAATTTCCAACAAATACCATGACCACATTCAAGTATGGTAACAGACTAACAGTACATAATGCAATCAAGTTCGATTCAATGATTCTTTTACAAATGAGATAACTACAAATTGCTTTAATCATTCACACAAATCCTAATTCAATTTATAGTTCACAACAGTTCACATGTGAATACAATTGAGTGTTAGAAATCACAAATTTCTCTCAATAAGTAACCGATCATACCTCCATGTTGAATTCCGAGAAATCTCTTGGAGAATGTAGTTTAGTTCTTTCCTTTCACTTCTCTCTAGTTGTGGGAATTACCTCTTGTAGCCAACTGTCCGCTTATATTGTTTTGACTTTCAAATATATGACAATTTCAAAACATCAAAAGCTTTGATTAATAGCATCAGAAATTATTGTTTTAAAATAAAAATAGCATACCATCAAAAGCTTCAATTAATAGCAACAGAAATATATCACATAATAATTTCATATCATAATCAAAACAGAAACATCAATGCCTTCAGATTACTATCATCAAAGTACATACACTAATATGGAAATAAATGCATGCCAAAAAGGGGTTTATACAGTAAATTCGAAGCCATTTAGGTTGTCATACTAATGCACAAAGTACTGATGGATAAGGAGTATTGAATAAACAGATGGATATGGATCATGTAAAACGTTCCAGAGTTCAATAAGATAAAACAAAAAAAAACAAAAAAAACAGAAAATTTACCGGGCAAGTTCAAATACTGCATGGAGATAGTGCTAAACTAACATAGCTTTTTATCTCAAGCAATATAATACGTCCTATATTTCAACAGTAAAAATGAAAAAATGATAGAAAATATAGAGATATATCATAGAGCAAAAGATCAGGTAAACTGTATCAAGCAAACTGGGAACCTTTCAAAGTTCATGTTCTGCTTTGTACAAGATGTGTTCCAGTTCCCAGCAGAGCCAAAATGAACCACCTCGAAAAAACAGAGGAAACCATTGTACCACTTACTAGTGACATAGTCATACACCAAGAAAATTGGAAATAGATAGTCCCACTGTACACGCTAAGATGATAAATCCCAGCATCATCTAGGCCTTTGGAAGCAAGGCAAGCCAAGCAAGGCTCCAACCTTGGCCCTGAAAATGCAGGGATTCGAAATAAGAATCATGAAACGGAACTCTGTATGCATTCACATGGTAACAAGGAACCAAGCACAATTCAATAAGTAAAAAGATAATATGGCATGACAACACACTTCATATTCCATGTGTAATGCAGAATGAACCAATCTTCCACATACTTAATGATACCATCTCACTCAACCAATCATTAATGATAGAACAGAAATATGGTGATCCTTGTTCCCGGATCAGAAACTTGGTTTTTCACTTTACCTTGTAAAAAATCTAGAGTGCAGACAGAGAAGTCCTTAATATAAAACCAAAAGTATATGGAGACAAGTGTTCATCCTTGTCATCGTCATAGAACTAAACAAACTGTAATGGGTCCCAAGAGACTAGATCATGGATAGGTACAAATCCTCTCTGATTCCATACTCACTAAATGCTGCACATAAGAACTACAAAGCACAAACCTTCCAAAAGGGAAAAACGCTACAAGTATTCACTTCTTTATAAGACAAAGTACACAGCTTCCTAAGTACAAATTTTACACACTTAGATAACTGGACATTGGAAACTAAAATATCACAACAAAATGTAGCAATATATCCTTGTTTCTTACAATGGAGAAAAAACTGGTAACAAGATTATTAAAAACAAATGAAAAGACAGAACCACGGTGAACTTGGAATATTCACTTCTATAAAATCAGGTACATAATTTCCAAAGTACAAATTTCCCAGGTTTAAATCAGTACAGATTGAACAATCAAGATAAGCAGGATAAATTGTAGCAATTATTTCTCTGATTCTTACAAAGTATGAAAGGCAATAAATCTACTGAACATCGTAAAGATCAAAAGTTATCTAATATTGAAGTTTGTTCCTGCGGAAAGTAAGTTCCTTACTTCCATCAAATGTTCATCATTTGAAATGTGAAGTGAAATACGGAGATTTGTCAACAACGCTTCTTGTTCCCAGCTTAAGGACCCAGAAGCATGCATTGCCACCAGAGTACTGCGATAAGCATTCAACTCTAACCTATGGATTCCTGCTGCTACATCCTCTTTTAGAGGAAGGGAAAATTTTTCTTGCGCATCTTCACAGCAACAAAAGGACTCTGCATCACTAGAAAGGGTATCTACATCTTGACTAGTACCTGCTAAATTGTGACCAGACAACTTATTTGAACTGCTACTGATAACACTACAACTACCAACAGAGCATGCATCACTATCGCTATCATTAAGTTCTGAGCTTCTTTCAACAAAACAAGAAATAACACCATTTAACTCTTTCCTCTCCTTTTCAACACATCCAGTTGTGCGATTAACAAAGGATGTATGCATGTATTCTTCCACCAGATTTTCTCGCGGGTTAGCAACAGCATCCACCGTTTTGAGCAAGTAAGACGGGGACCCAGAAAAAACGCGTTGACGCTCACACCCCTTCTCAATTGCCCTCATCTTTCGAGAATATCCCTCAATAGAAGAGCTATATGGATAAGCTTTCTTCAAAGATCCAGATGAAACACTATGGGAATCCTGACAGCTGATGTTGTACAGAGGAGGTAAACAATCATTCCTGGCGGGTAGCTTTATTTTTGCTTTCATTTGGGGGGCTTGTGAGCTCATCCGATTGTCTGGACCCTGTCAAAAGTAATATTAGTAAGCAAATAAAATAAAAAGAAAGGCCTGAAACTGTTATCGATATATTCAACAAGCATAGAAATGATAAAATAAATAAAACAAAGATGAGGCAGACAGAAGTTTACCTTTCCGATCACAAACCATTTGTCATCCTTCCATAATTGGCGTGCCCTGATCCTATATTTGTGGACTCTTAACTCCTCAAAAGATCCAAGTATCCTAGCCAAGTAATAATTTTCATCCAAGACCCTTATCACCGTGGCCATTTTCCAGAAACCAACATCAAACACCTCCGCAACATCACCAACTGCCCAACTCTCCACTCTTTGAACAGGCAGAGGGCAAGGCCTAATATCCTTCCTTGAGACTCCATGCACAACTGCCTGACTGTCCTTGCCAGACCAATCATAGCTAACACTATATGTGTGCCCATTACCAGAGACAATCACAGCACAGCGCCATGCTCCCCCAGGCACCTCCTTTTGGCTAAGTACCTCCACTTTGCTTCCCTTCTTGAATCTCATGATGCCTACTAGCATGTCAAAACCTGTAACAACCAAGAAATCAAATCTTCGAATTAGAAACGAAGCCTAAGAGTTCCGTAAAATCAACAACTACACGAAAAAACGAAGACAAATCAGCAGATACACATTTGTAAAACTTAGAAAGGGGACAACTTTTCCAGATTGTAGTGAAACAGTTTACAAAACCAAATAATTTGGACTAGAGTAAAACAAAACAAAATATAATCAATCAAAAGCCCCAACATATCACACTGAACCAAGTAAATGAAAAGCCCCAAATTTTAATACAAAATCAGAAACGGAGTTCCTAGGCAAGCAAATAACACCAAAATCTTTCGCAAAACAATCCAAACGTACTCAATTTCACATAAAAGTAAACGAACAAAGCATTGAGAGCGTAAATTCCAAACCCTAGAAATCGAAATTGAAACAGATTCGACTCACCTTGCTTGAAATTTTGCGAAATTCGATCAATTCACGTGAAATACCGCCCTAGATCCTCTGTGTTTTGGCTTCAATTGGAGATTTCCAGCCTGTAGGGTTGAGAATTGCGGGCTTGGAATTGGGAGGAAATTTAGAAAGTTAGGGTTTGCAATTTTCTGTTTGTGTGAGAATATGAAGAAAATAAAGTTGTTTACGAATTTATATTTTGATTTTTTATTATTTTTTTCCTTTTTCCTTTTTTGCGTCCGTTTGAAGTTTTGCCCTCGGCCAGAAGGGAGAGTGCGTAATGCGCATAACTGGGTAATTTTCACCTAATTTTTAGGAGATTATATCACTTTGATTTTTCTAATTTTTTTTAAAATTTATTTTTCATGAAGTGGATGGATTTTTACTATTTTTTTAATTAATGTTGATTTAGAAGTATTTGAGTGTTAACTTGCTTCTCAAGTGTCCAACATTTTTAAGCATCTTTTTCCAAACAAAAAAAAAGTGTCCAACAAATTTCTTTTAATGAAAATGACAATCTAAAAGCAGGACTTGGTGAACAAGTTTTGCAAGATGAAGTAATCCTTTGGACTCGTTTGAGATTACTTTTATTGAAAATATTTACACTCACAAGTGTTTCTATTAAAAACATTGTTAGAAACAAATTGAAATTTTTATAAAAAAATTCAAGTGTTTTCGTAACTGGAAAAAGAAAAAATAGTTCGTATCTAATACACTAATAATATTTGAAATAAAAGGTTATTCTTTTTTTTTATTTGGAAAAAAATAGTTTATGCGTGCTTATATTATTTTTTTATCGTTAGTGCAAGTGAGTCTCACAATAATCAAAATCATTTGACATTACCGATATAGTCCGAAAAATTACACTTTTTTTCCTTGACAAAATTAACTAAAAAGGACAACTAAGACAGAGAAAGAGTCAAACTAGAGCTGTCGAGATAATTAAAAAGGAAAATTAGAAGTCCAAGATGTAACAAAGACAACATTGTTACCCATCCGAGCCAACACATTTTCTGCATAATTAGTTCATAAAACGCTAAACTTTCTCATCTCCCTGTATTTATCTTATATATTTCATTTCTTCCACATCTCTTCCGTCATCCTTCTTTCGCATTTCTTCATAACGGACCTTAGGGTTGCCGACATTTTTCCATAGAGATTATTTGCCACGATGATCCTCTTCTAGCCTTCTCTAGCCTGCATCTTAGCTCATTTCATTAAACAACTTGTGGTAAGTCGCGATGATCCATTTGTATTGAAAACTCTCCTAGAACAGGATCCTATGTGCTCTTCCAAGACGATACATACCTAGCTAAACCGGTAACCAAGTCCCAACCAATCTTCATTTCCGCTAGGAATGTGTCACAAGGATAATCAAAACTCTGCCACAAGAAGTTATCCGGGTTAGTTCCGTTCCCAACTTGCACCACAAGATCTCCAGAATCCAAGAGTTGCGATACCGGATTCCCTTCGATTCTTGATGAATTCGATGATCACACAATGCTGTTTGAGCTATTGATAAGGAGGACGAGAATACCTTAGTGAGCTTTAAAAGTCCTGAAGAATCACCAATTGATGTTTCTCTGTTGGCTACCCACACAACAGCATCAGTACAATCCCATTTGAAAGCTTCCACCCGCTGAAACCAGAGTTTCGACGTCTCTAATATGTCAAGCTGGGGTGATTGTGCATGGCGTAGCTGCAGATGAGATACCTAGGAAGGGAAGGAGAATAAGAACAAACACACAAAAAGGCTTCTCAAGGATTGCATTGGCATCTTTTCTACAGAGAAGCAAAAAGTGGAAGCACAAGACGTTTAGCTCTCTTTCAAGATTATTCCTTCTTTTATCAGGTATTTTGTTATAAGTTTTGGCTTTGTGAAAGGCTAAAATAAGTTGCCATTTGAGAGAAAAAAACTCAACAATGTTATTCACCGTCTAAATTGTAGCGCTTAAACACCTTTGTTAAGTAATAACCTCCCTTAAGTTATAATATTGGTTTGATCCTAACTACATAACTTTAAAGAGATTTTACTATAGTTTGTGTGCAGTCGTAAACGGCCACGTGATCCAAATTGCCAAAGGATAGTACTTTCCTTCTTCCCACTAGTGTGATATCGTTTCACCGTACAAACGTCATAATCGAAACTATTTGTTCTCTTATAATCATCTAAAAATCATATTTAGAAAATTTATATGATTTGAAGACACTTTAGTTATCTATATGAAACAAAGAAGTTTACCATTCATCATTTTTAACCCCAACTGTCAATTTGTTTAACTCATCAACAACAACTTTACATGACGTTAAAGACAATGAAAAGTTTTAGGTAAACTTATCGTAGTAAAGTAATGCCACAGCGTTAGTGGGAAGCTATCGTGAAGCAAATATAGTTCACAAGTTACATCTTTTGGCCTAACGTATTTGATCTTTACAGCCCCAAAAGTGTCAAAACCGTCACTGCGGAGCCGAGCTCGACTGATAAAGTAATAAGTGTTCCTACAAATAACGGCACATGCTTTCAAAGCAAACCACCAAACGTCCTGAACCGGACCTTGCTATTATCAGACTGCACGCGACATGGGTTAAATCTCTTACATTATTCACAATTCAAGTATTTGTCTTGGTAATTGGCAAAATAAATTGAATACCGTTACTGCAAACTTATGATTTCATGTCATTGTTTCCCAACTGAGACTGCCAAGGGTCACGTCAATCTGCCGAACATGTTTTCTGATGGTAGACTGAAGGATGAACAAGTACCGGAATGAAGATCCTACCGAGGTTCTATCAATGTAGGTGCTGAATTATTTGAACACGGGTGCGTTCTTGATGGTAATTCGGGGACACTTTGTTTAGCGTAGAAACCAGGCTGCTTTTGAGGGATCTACCACCACAAAAAGCTTTACACACACTGCCAAATGCAACAACCCAGAAGCTTATTACAAGATTGCAAGTCTGGCTGCCAGTATAATGTCATTTTTGAACTCTCTCATTTCTTGTCCAGAATTCTTCAATAGCCTCTTGACTGCAATATCGTCCCTCCTATCAATGTGCCCAATATATGGATCATCATTTTAACAGGTCCCAAAATTTTGTTTCACAAAGTAACTCATCTTAGTGGCATGAATTTATATTACCTTGTACACAGGTCCAAGGCCACCTTCTCCCAGCTTGTTGCTGCTTGCGCAGTCACTAGTGGCTTGGCTACGGTGGTCAAGTCAAATAGTGGTAACTCAATGTTCTCCCTGCTTCTCCAAGGTACTCTTTTCCGCAATCCTTTTTTCTGACACCTGAAATGTAAGTGAACAGCTAGTTACACTGTTGAAATTTTATACCGATCACTACCTTATCTGATGCACTTTATGTAGTCAAGATACTTTGATTTAGATATTTGTACCATAATCTTCTCATCATGTATCTGATAAATTAGACCATGTCTAAGATAAATACATTGATTTCTGAGTTTCTTCTGTATATACAATGTCAGTCCCGCAATTAGCATTCCCAGGATTTAACACTGCAGAATGATGAGAATTGATCTCAAATATCCATATTAAAACAAGCTTTTCATGTATTTTAACCCTACTTTGCATAACTGCAGACAAAGGCCTAAGACAAGCCTCATTCTGAAGCTGCCACCGCCACCAGGAGTGAATTCTTTTACGGCGGTGAGGTTACCAAACCAAAGAAAAACAGCCACTTCCTCCCTCCTAATATCTACATAATGTAGTTTTAACTGAATTTGTTACTTAGCCTTTTAAGTGCATTTTTCTACTAATATTAAACATTTCACACAGCTGGGCAGCTGGGCAGATCGGCAAATGTTCCTCCCAAAAGAGCATATAATTCTGTTTTGAGTCTTATACCAAAGAGCATATATTATTTTGCCACTGAATTTGTTTGTACAATCCACAAGTTACAAAAGGAAATGGACAATTAACTCATAAACCCAATAGGAACACAGGTAAAAGCAGTCCTGATAACAAATGAGCCTAGTAGCCTACCATAAATCAGAAATGCTAGCTCAAAATCTATGAGAAAGATTGAAATATAAGGATGTATCATGTAGGTATGATCAAGATACATCAACGAAAATGTGAGATTCAGAGAAATAAAAAACGCTCAAAAGGAACCAAATCAAAGTTATACAACAATTAGATCAACCACGGAAACCGATTAAAACTAAACTCGCAAAATTGAACTCAGATAAAACTATAACTCAAACAATGGGTGGGCAATGTTTGAATGAATGAGAAAATACAGAAAAGGAAGGTACCTTAAAAGGCTAAGCTTTTATTTTTAGAGGGAGGGGGGTTGAAACCATGGTGGAGACAGCAAAAAAGAGAAGAGGATCACTCAAAACATACACAGTATGTGGGATCATTTGCTCGCCCTTCTTACTTCTTTAAAGGATGGCATCACATTTTTGGTCTTTTCATATATCTTTAGAAAATCCTACGCAAGCATGAAGCATAGTCATTTAAACAAGTTTGATGACCAAATCACTACTCTCCAACCAATGCTCCCTTAATAAATCATAAAATGTCTGTTCTAAGTTTCTCTTGCCTTCTTCAAGAAAATGCTATTGTTCTGTTGAATGCCAGCACTTTCACCCCCCACATAGATCCTTTCATTTTTACACATAAATCCCCCACAGACTTCAAAATAAGTACAAATGGTCATGCTCATCTCTCACAGTTTGTATAAAGAACTTATCCAACATCATGATACTAGGTTACATTGAAATTACAATAAGAAAAACATTTGAACAATTAGTCCAGTTAACTAAGAAATCTCCCAGAAGGGAACACAAATGACACAATAAAATATTCCAGAATTTAGCCATCTCATCAGTCACTCATTAAATTGAACCGAAGTGAACAAGAGTGAAGTGAAAAAAGATCATTAACATACATGTCAACATACAGAAAACCTAAAAATGATGCGTCAGATCAATCATCAAATACCATGAAAACATGGGGTTTGGTTTGGAGGACAAGGCTCAACTACGAACCTTGCAAAAGTTTTAGGAGATATTTCACAGCAGCATCCAAGTTTTCTTCAGCTCCTATCTGCAGAAGGAGTAGAAATGTTGAAAACAACAAACAAATAGAAAAGGGCAGGAAACTTCCAAGCTCCCTTCATTGATCGTATCAAAGATCTTATCAAAGAATAACTTATGCTAATTCAAGATTTATGGTAATGACACTCTAGTAAACTATAAAACTTCCTCCATTCTATTGAGACCATTTCAAAGAACAACTTATGCTAATTCAAGATCAATCTGTAAGTTCCACATAAATTGAGATTGTTAGAAGCTCACCGGGGGTAAACAATCTCATAAACAAGGATAAGAAGTTGCAAGTTTCTCAAATTATACTATACAACCAATAGTTAATCCTTTCTGGGTAACATCACCAAATTTCTCTCTCTTTTATAGGAAAAAGAAAAAGAAGTTTGGTAAGCAATGATGAACTAAGGTAACAACGCACTGAAAAAACTGATGGCAACAATAAACCAAGGAAGCAATGTATTATGCCGATAATAAACTGTGGCAACCATTAATCAATGCAACAATATTATTCAAGAATAAAGTTAGGTAACCTTTAACTGAAACAACCATGATGAGGCATCAATACACCCGAGGCAATCATAACTGAAACCAACATTAAATTGAGGCATCAATACAACCGAGGCAGCCATAACCGAAACTGACAATAAACCTGAGGCAACCATAACCAAAACAAACAATAAACTCAACCACTAATCGAAGCATCAATACAACCGAGGCAAGCATAAACGAAACCAGCAATAAGTCGAGGCAACCACTAACCAAGGCATCAATACAACCGAGGCAGCCATAACTGAAATTGACAATAAACCGAGGCAACCATAACTGAAACAAACAATAAACTCAACCACTAATCGAAGCATCCATACAACCGAGGCAAGCATAAACGAAACCAGCAATAAGCTGAGGCAACCACAACTAAAACCAACAATAAAGCGAGGCAGCCATAACTGAAACCAACAATAAACTGAGGCAACATTTAACCGAGGCATCAATACAACTTAGGAAACCATAACTGGAACCAACAATAAACCAAGGCAACCACTATTTGAGGCATCTACACAATTGAGGCAACCATGGATGAGGCATCAATAAAATTGAAGCAACCACTATCACTCATTAAATTGAACTGAATTGAACAGAGTAAAGTGAAAGAAATCACTAGCATAAATGTCAACATACAGAACAAACTATGGAATCAGATCAAATACCATGAAAACACAGGGGTTGGAGGACAAGTCTCAACTACCAACCTTGAAAGTTTCATGATATATTTCATAGCAGGATCCGAGTTTTCTTCGGTTTCAACATCAATCAATGCAACCATGAATTGGGTACCAAGGGAGAAGATGTGCAAAAACAATTAGGACAACAAGGAACCAGAGAATCAAAATAACTTCAGCAAATAACAGATACAATGTGTAACATACTTTCCAATTAGTTCTCACATCTATGTATGCGATGGCAGTTGTAAGCCAAGCAGGCCACATGCAATATGGAACTTTGGATGAGAGATGACATTACAGATTCTGTATGTTAAGAATCAGAATAGACTGGTTTAGATTTTCTGCAATTTTGAATCCGAACACGTGCCTCCAAATTGTGCATATACATAATTACTTACCTAATTTTGCAGGTTAATTTTTTTTGCAAAATTTATATGAAACGAGGCATCAAGATAACTGGACAATTAAGAGTTGTGACAACATACCAAGCCAAACAAAAACCGATAAATCAATACAACCAAAGAAACCATTAATTGAAGAATCAATATAGCAAAGGCAACTAATAATTTCAACAAAAATACACCAAGAAAACCATGAAATGAAGCAACAAAAACTAAGGCAACAATAAAAAAAAATGAACAACCATGAATTAGGGCATCAAAATAATTGAAGCAACTGTGAATAAAGACATGAAGATAACTAGGCCTTCATGAACTAATAACTGAGGCATCTGTGATCTAAGACGACAGATACTGGGGGAAAATGAGGTAAAAGTATAGCCAGGGATAAACTGAAGGCAACTATTATTCAAGAATCAATACAACCAAGACAAACATGTATATGAGACATCAAATAATCAGTCGGAAGTATTGACTGATGAGAATAATATATTGAGCCAACAGTTAATCAATATGACAATACACAAGTACACTGGGAGAGTTTAAGACAACCATGAATACTCATCAAATATTAGTGGCAAAAATATACCAAGTTAACTATGGGTAACAACGCATCCAATGATTATGACAGTATGAGTCTGGATATCTAAACAACAAGAAAAAAGAGGCAATCACAAATTGAGGCATAAGATAAGTGTGACACAATCATGAACCAAGGTAACAACATACTGAAAAAACTGAGGCAACAATAAACCAAGGAAACAATGTATTATGCCCATAATTAATGTGGCAACCATTAATCAATGCAAGAATATTATTCAGGAATAAAGTGAGTCAACAATTAATTGAAACAACAAGAATGAGGCATCAATACAACTGAGGCAACCATGATTGAAACCAACAATAGTCTGAGTCAACCATAACTGAAACCAACAGTACATCGAAGAAATAACTAAACAACGCATCAATACAACTGAGGCAAGCAATAACCGAAACCAACAATAAACCTATGCAACCACTAATCGAGGCATCAATACAACTGAGGCGACCATAATTGAAACCAACAATAAACCAAGGCAACCACCATCGAGGCACCAATACAACTGAGGCAACCATAACCAAAACAAACAATAAACCAAGGCAACCATAATTGAAACAAACAATAAACTGAGGCAACCACTAATTGAAGCATCAATACAACTGAGGCAACCATAAATGAAACCAACAATAAGCAGAGGTAACCACTAACCGAGGCATCAATACAACCGAGGCAACCACAATTGAGACCAACCATAACTGAAGCCAACAATAAATTAAAGGCATCAAAACAACTTATAAAACCATAACTGAGGCATCTATACAACCGAGGCAACCACTATTTGAGGCATCTATGCAACCGAGGCAACCATGGATGAGGCATCAAGAAAATTGAGGCAATTATGAACTTCACAAAAATATACCGAGGCAACAATGGTCAAAGTATCAAAATAACCCAATAAAACCATGAATTGTGGCAACAAGTAACCAAGAAAAACATTAAATGTTAATAGTAGACTGAGGTATCATGAATTAAGGCAACTATCAACCACAATCATGAACTAATAACCGAGGCAACCATGATCTAAGGCGACATTATACTAGGGAAGAATGAGACAAAAGGTAGCCAGGAATAAACTGAGGGCAACTATTATCCAAGAAATCAATAAAACCGGGACAAAAATGTATAGAGACATTAAATAACAGTCGGAAGTATGAGTGATGAGAACAACATATTAAGCCAACAGTTAATCAATACGACAATACACCAGTACAATGAGAGTTCAAGACAACCATGAATAGTCATCAAATATCAGTGGCAAAAATAAACCGTTGACTATAGGTAACAATGAGTCCAATGGTTATGATAGTATGAGTCAGGATATCCAAACAACAAGAAAGAGAGGTAATCATAAATAGAAGGCATAAGATAACTGTGAGGCAACCCTGAAGCACGGTAACAACACACTGAAAAAACTGCGGCAACAATAAACCAAGGAAACAATGTATTATGCCTATAATAAACTGTGGTAGCCATTAATCAAGGCAACAATACTATTCAAGAATAAAGTGAGGCAATAATTAACTGAAACTGCAATGATAAGACATCAATACACCCGAGGCAACCATAACTGAAACCAACAGTAAATTGAGGCATCAATACAACCGAGCAGCTGTAACCGAAACCAACAATAAACAGAGGCAACTACTAATCGAAGCATCAATACAACCGACGCATCCATAAACGAAACAAACAATAAACCGAGTCAACCATAATCGAAACCAACAGTACATTGAGGCAACAACTAATCAAGACATCAATACAACTGAGACAACAATAACCGAAACCAACAATAAACCAAGGCAACCCTTAATTGAGGCATCAATCAACCAAGGCAACCATAACCGAAACAAACAATAAACTGAGGCAACCACTATCGAGGCATCAATACAACCAAGGCAACCATAACTAAAACCAACAATAAACCTGACGCAACCACTATTGAGGCGTCAATACAACTGAGGCAACCATAACTGAAACCAACAATAAACCGAGGCAATCACTAATTGAGGCATCAATACAACAGAGGCAACCATAACTGAAACAATAAATTTAGGCAAACACAACCAAAACCAATAACAAATTGAGGCATTAATACAAATAAACTGAGGCATCAAGATAATTAAGGCAACTATGAACTTCCACAAAAATATGTCGACACAACAATGATCAATGTGTCAAGATAATAACCCAAGAAAACCATGAATTGTGGCAACATATACCGAGACAACCCTGAATCTCGGTATCAGGATAACTGAGCAACAAAATATTGGGAAAAAAAATTGCGAAAAAACAGAGGCAATAATGTATTTAGGCAACGATAACCAAGAAAAGCATTAAAGGTTAATAGTACACCGAGTATCATGAATTAAGGCGACTATCAACCACAACCATGAACTAAGGCAACCAAAATCAAAGCCAACATGTATCAATTCAAATTCCACACCTACAAATTGTATGCGAAAAAACAAAATAAACAGAGAATACATACAACGCTAATCAACTTGTGAAAATTAGGTCAAAATAAAATACGAAGGGGCACTTTTCCACACAACCATGAAAGAATGAAATCAAAACCCTAAAATTGATAAGTTTCCCAATAAAATCAAAACTCTCAAATGTGCAACAAAAAAAAAACGAAATTGATAGGTTTCCCAATCAAATCGAAACCCTAGAATGTTTACCTGAGGTGATGGGCACAATCGATCTCGCAAAACCACTGGGCCGGTGCCATGGAGAAAGACGCGCATCTTTCTGACTTCGTCTTCCTTCTAGATTGAAGACCTTCCACTTCGCCGTTGCTCTGCACGCCGACTGTACGCGACCCACCCTAACGGTTGGAAATCAATATAAAGACACTCCCGGTCACGTGCAACGTGCAAATTCAAATAAGTCGGTGGCTTTCAAGCACGTGATGGTCACGTGTCTTTAAATTTAATCATTAAATGAAACCAAATAATGATATTTTTTGTTTTACAAACTATAGATAATTCATCCAATAATGTTTATTTTTCCCACTAGTTTGCGTGAATCACAAGTCGATACGTCATATGGTATAATATAAGTGATTGATAAGATTGATATGTTTCACTTTAAAGTATATTTTCAGTGCCGAAAGTTCAAATACAAGAAAAATCTCTGGTTAACTCGGACTTCCACTCATATTTTAATAATATGACAATTTAAGAACTTAATTAGTTTTGTCAATTTTTTTTTTTTTATAACTTAAAGTATAAAATTAAGTTCATCAATTACCCAAACAATTGACATGTCAAAATTTAGTATTTGTGTTAGTCTTTTACTTATTTAGATCGTCTTAGCTCTACTTCATTCGGGTTCTTACTCATCTTCCCATGGAAGCATCAATGAGGACATGAAGTAAGAGTACATTAACTCATTCGTCTTGCTTGTCAAACTTCCTATGGGATTGGTTGGAAGTGCTTTTAAAATGATTGAAAGACATTTTAAAAAAAATGTTTTTTTTAATTTCAAAAGCATTTAAAGTGTTTCATGCAAGAAGCACCAGTTATGTTCTTCATGTAGAAAGCACTTCCAAGTGTTTTTTTTTTTTTTTTTTTTTTTCTAAGGATTCATTTACATTTTAACTAATGATTGGTTTCAAAAACATTTTTACAGAAGGCGCTTCAACCATTTTAAAAGCAATTCCAAGCGGACCCTACATGTGTTTATGCATGATATTTTATCTTAGATTTTCTTCAATCCCCACAGATCCTTTGTTTGTTGTGCTTCAGGAACTGCTCGAAGCAAACTTATAATTCAAAACTAACAAACTTATAATTCAAAACTATCTTTCTTGCAAACTTATAATCTCATGTCTGTTTCCCAAATAAGAGTACAAGGTTCATGTTCATGTCAACCTACTGCCGAACATGTTTTGTGATGGTAGACCGTAGGCGGAAGGATTAACAAGCACCTGAGTGATGATCTACGAAGGTTCCATCAACGTAGTGCTGAAAGTATTCGCTGAACACAGTTGCATCCATGAATGTGATTGGGGACACTTCACTCAGTGTAGAACTACAGATGATATGCGTGGTTGAGTTACTCTTTGCACACATAGCAGCCCCACATGCAAACACCTTACAGCTTCAGAAAACCTCTTATCGATACGTTCAAGTTGTTTATCTCGAATCCACAGAGTCCATGCCTTACATGTTAGAGTTCGCAGAGATATCCGGGGAGAGAAGTTTAAGCTTATTGATTGATATAGTGAGCCAAACGTAAAGCTGAAGGTGAGAGCTGCATCTACTAAATTGGGGTCTCTTAGAATAATCATGATGATCCGGCAAATAAGTATTTGAGTAAAGGAGCAACCACTGCTATACTCAAACTGTTCCCCAGTAATGCATAACTGCAGCATAAAATAAACGGACAGAAAACGTCAGTCTTGCTGAACAACGGCTGTCGTGCTTAACTGTAGAATCCAACAAAATGAGAAGCTGAAAAGTTTGTACTTCTCATTTATTGACTTGACATACACCGAATAATTTTCATCAAATAAAAGACACGGCATTGTTTATTTTCTGCTAAAATACAAATCAAGCTGAACCAGTTGATAAAATAATGGCATACCGCTGCCTGAGGCTTATCTGCTGTGGAAACTGAAAATCTTCCGGGAGAGAATGCAAATTAGCAACCTAAGTAGGTCAAAGGAAAATTATCAATTGACACACCGAAAACATGAAAACATGAAACCAATAAATGGAGAAATCTACAAAAGATGTGTATAATGATATCAGCATACCTCCCTTGGGGAAAAGTATCGAAGGTTATGCTCCTTCAATGAAGATGTTTTATCCTTATTCTTTGGCTGCATATATGTCGCAATTTTGTAAATGTCAAGCAGCACAAAAGTCATTGGATATTGTTTCTTGATGAGTCATATTATGACCAGGAACAGAACCGTGAAGTACATGAACTTGAAATAGTGTTCCAATCTAATAAGTGCGGGAGTTCTTAAGTATCAAAACCTAACGTGTTCCAATAGTAATCCAAGTGTGTAATCTTACCTGCAGAGTTGCCAAAAGGGAGCCTGTACCCTTCACATATCGATAGTAACTTTTTGTAAAACAACAACATCGTTTCGAATCAGGATAGACAATATCTAAGCTGCATTAAGGATTCCTTGAAAGAGAGCGAGAGAGAGAGAGAGAGAGAGAGTTATTCAATAAAATAACATAAAGAATAGAGATTTTCCTTATTATAGCCTCATTGCATTAACATCCATTATGCATAAAATTTCTGACTTTTCACTCTTAGAGAGTTTCCTAAGGTAGACTGACGATATTCATGTTAAGAATTTATCAATAACGAAAAAGGATACCCATGGCACTTCCCCACCTCTCTATCAAGCTTAATGGAACAATGTACTGATCTACGATGCCGGTACAATATCCATTCCCTTCATCTTTCTCCAATATTCCATCAGTATCTGTAGAACTAGTAGTGGTCTCCACAAAATTGGACTCCGATTGGTCACTGCAATTCTTGAATTCAAGAAAGCTTTGTATAGGCTCACAAGATTCAAGTAACTTATCCTGGCTCTTTTGTGGTTCATCAAGTTCACAGAGCACTGTCTCATCGGCATTTGTATCCCCTAATAATGGCCCCAGCGAGTGAAGAAGCTGATTATCGAAAACTGGATTGTGAAAGGTTGAAGGTTTCCTCTTTGCCTGCAAGATAAATGAATATCTGTGTTAAAACTCTTGGAAATAATAAGAGCAAGAGAGTTCCAAGAGTTTCTGAATGACCTAGAGAACCAGTGGGAGAGGAGGGCTACCAGGCAAAAATAGCGTGGCCTGGAATAGGGTACACCAAACTGTAACGGACTCAATACGAACTCCTGCATAACAAAATTTGTTCTTCCCAATATCTCTATCATTTTTGTATGCGTATCAGATGTCTGCAGCCAGGAGATAAAACAAAGGAACTGGAATAAAAATAAATCAATATTTTACCTACAATTAAGCTAAAAATTCCAGAAAGAGACCTCAAATCCCACAACATTTTCCACAAATAACATCATTGGAGGTCGAGATGTGTGTGGTATCAACTCAAGAATGTTGAGAAATGAAAATGCCCGAGCATCGCCAGATTGCTTTTGAAGACCTATCCATAAGTAGCTAGTGAAAATCTATGCAAATTAATGTCACACATCTGTATATAGAACAACTATGACAAACTTACCTTGTCGAGTGTAAGGTTGGCAAGGAGGAGAAAGAAGCCATGCATCCGCCCCATAGCAGTCAAGATCAGCAGCAGTAAGGCTCTGAATATTACCCTGTACAAACAAGAATATTCAAACTTCAGTACAAGATGAGCTCAAGTAGACCTAGTAAACATCATGTCTGAGCAGTTGGAAAGCCAAACAGTAACAATGGAACAACTACAAAAGCAGCAAAACATCGGAACAAATGGTATTAAATCCAAACTGACCCAACACAGAACCACATGGAAAGCAATTTACACCAGATACCTTAAACAAATTGTAAAGAAATTATCTTTCGGAGAGATGGCCGAATGGCTGATAGCTCCGGTCTTGAAAACCGGTATAGTTAAAAACAAAGAACTATCGAGGGTTCAAATCCCTCTCTCTATTATTATAAATATTATAATAAATGTAAGGATAAGTCGTCTCGTTAAATCTTCAAATATTACTATTCCTTTCCTATTTTCCATTATTCCAATTAAATCGATTAGAAATCAACAAACTAAAAAGTAAGTGGACCTAACCCAGTGCATCATAATTATATCCACTATTCTGATATTAAAATTCGATAGAGATGAAATTGGATCTTTTTTTCTTTGGACTACGCGGGAATCGCTTTAGATTTAAGACAGATTCGCTTGGGTTTATCCATGGTTTGTTTATTCCTTATCCTGAAAATCCCAATCCTATTTCTTAATTCTACATCATCTTTGATCCCCAAAACTTACAGCATCTTAAGAGATAAAGCGCCTTTTGGGAACTGCCTATGGAGTGACTAAACGTGATTTTTGATAACCAAAAGTGCTTCCAACTACGTTTGGAAGAAAAGCTTTTACTGGATCATAGAAGCGTGGGAAGCGTTAAGCACTTGGACTTTCAATAACAATTTCAACGGATAAAAGCACTTCTAGAAAAAGTGCTTACTACAAAACGGGCCCCTAAGTGCAAGAAACTCAAATTGGGTAGCCATAAATTACAAACTTTTGATCCTCAAGTAATCAAGCACCACAAATTTGTACTTAGCTGTGCACAATGTATAAAAAGAAGCTTGAATTTGGATAAAATTACAAAATTGAACTAAAAACTGGGAAGAACCTGATAGGGACGGTGGCCGAAATTGTGCTCGTAAACGTCGTTGGCGGTGTCGTTGATGTCGAACGCTTCCACAACTTCGGCGTTCACTCCTGCCTTCATGAGCGAGTACCTCTGATAATCGGAAAGATGCAAACTTGAGCAAAAAGCGTTGAAGAATTAAAAAACTGGAAGCAAAAACTGAAAGCCAAAAAGGTGTATTTGAGGTATTGGGTTTTCTAGTACCATGCCGCCAATGCCGCTGTAGAACTCGAGGACCCGCCATGGCTGCTCTTCCAGTTCCTGCTGCTCTAAACCCTTCGCCATTAGCGTCGTCCCGCGGGTTGAACGACCCCGACTGCTAATTCGTTATAAGCTTTCAAGCGCAAACGACATGCCGTTTGTTCTCCGATGAGAACATGTATGCGATGCCGATTTTGATATTTCATCCTTGTAATTTCGTAATTTTCCACCTTAGTCCAATTTGGCATCTAACTTTATTCTTTTTCTTAGTCTCATGTAAACACGTTCTCATTTAAAAATATCGAAATAAGTTTCGTCTCAAGTGAAAAAGTAATATTGTTGATGAAATAAAACTACAATTACAAAAATGCAAGAACAAAGTTACATGCACGAAAATGAAATTCCAAGCAAGCCTAATAAGGTCTATGACCGACACATGAAGCAATGTTGTCATCAAACCCACCGCAAGTGAGGTGAAATCGGTGACCTATGAAGTAATGGTGAAAACACGATCTCCAATAATTTAATTGGATATAATAGTGAATAAGAGAATAACCAAAAACAACTAAGCACGATGCATCAAACTCCTTCAAATGCGAGGTCTAACCATATTTAAAGAAAATGAAATTTTTTACAATAAGGTTTATGACAATGATTGATTGATGAATTGACGAATAAAAAGTAATGTGAAACTCATGCGTAAGCATGACTCAAACAAGTACTTATGCATAGGGGTAAACCTACGTATGGGCATGAACTTGCAATTGATTGAAAGAAGAACCTTATATAATTAATCTAACATTAACATTATAATCTAGTGATGTCCTTCTGATGATAAGTTTAAGATGTCAAGTTTTGATATTAAATTATAGCTGATGCGGTGCATTTCTAAATATATTTATCGGCAAGGGACAAGAAAACCGCAGGCACGAGGGGCAATATTGTCAAGATGCTATTATCAAGAACCGAACGGGGACAGTCCAGTAACTTCACGCGTAGCAGAAGCAGCTAGAGCTAGGACTAGGCCCCCTCTATATATTTCTTCTGGAGGTTAGGTATTTGTCGACAGGCCTCACTCTCTCACCTCGTCTCCTCACTTTTCTGTGGCTCTCTGCGTCTCTCAGGTGAGCTCTCTAGGGTTTCATCACCCTTGTTTTCTCAATTAGAAACCTAATTTTTTTGCCATTTACCGCATCATAAATTACATGGTTGCGGTAGAAAATTCGGAGTTTTTTTAATTTTATTTTTCGTTAAACTTTTTGTTGATATAATTGAATTCATTAGTTGGAAAGTTCAAAGAGAAATAAAGTTATATATGTTTTCAATTTAGTTCGATGATGTGGTTATTTTGTCTTGCGCATGCATTTGGGTTTAGGGTTTGTGGAAATTTAGCTAGGGTTTAAGGATTCGGAGCTCGATTTGGTTATTGATTAGGGATTAGGATTGTTTTTGCATTTTCTGATCTGGGTTTGCTTGTATTATATAGATGATAAGATTTAATGTAATTAGTACTGGACTTGGAACTTAAAAATATGTCTGCATGTTTAGATTCTTACATCTGTTAAGTGGATTTAGTTGCGGGTTTTGGGTAAAGCCGGGGCGGTTTCTATGGTAAATATGATCGTTTTTCTGACTCCGGAAATACTTATTTACAGTTAGAACATATCATATTTGTACATTGGGTGATTGAGTAATAGTTGAGTAGATTTTTTTTCCCCTTTTTTATCGTTGAATTTACTAATACGGCTGTGGTTGGCTCGGTGAGGTGCAATTAGTTCCTTGTATCAGTGGTTATGCTGGTTTGAGTTTTGTTTCTGGGAGATAAACAAATGACGAAGAAGAAGAACCCCTTTGTTTTCATGGATGTGTCCGTCGATGGTGATCCTTATGAAAGAATGGTTTTTGAGGTACTTTTCATGAACAAATATATTCAGTCAATATTTGTCGTTCGGTGTAAACTGTGATGAATGATGAGTTCTTGTTGCCTGTCTCAGCTCTTGCTATGTGACTATTCATGCATTTCCTAATGAGTTTGACATTTATAATTTCCTTGGTGATTGCTTTACAGCTTTTCTCTGATGTTGTTCCCAAGACTGCAGAAAATTTCCATGCTCTATGCACAGGTAAACTATATCATTTGGTTCAGAACTGATTTGTTATTCATATATACGGGATTCTGTAACGAACTTGTTTACATGAATTGCTCTATGGAATTGAACAATTCGTATAATCAATTTCTTGTATTGCTTCTGAGATTGCGCTTTTTTCCCTTCTTTGGGGATGCTATAATATAGTGCCAGAGTAAGATCAGAAGGTTTGCTTTTCTCATGTATTTGTTGTTTTATTGAATACTCAGGAGAGCAGGGAATCAGTCCAAAAAGTGGAAAACCACTGCACTACAAAGGGTCCTTTTTCCATCGTATTATAAAAGGTTATATAGCACAGGTATGCCTCCTTATCTTACTTTTAGATTCGTCTTCCATAGGATTTTCTGGTTGAGCATGACTTAGCAGTGGTTTGTCTTGTAGTCAGTTACTCTTGTTTATGCTGTAGGATACAGGGCTGATGGTCCCGACTGCTTTTCTTGTGATATAGTTTTAAGGTTGTACTTACTAAGTTGTATATCCTTGAAATTTACTAGCTTTGTCATGCCCACCCAGTTTTGCATACACATTTCCTTTATAACTTAAGGGATTAATGGATGTTGTCTGTTTTTCAGGGTGGCGATTTTGTCAAAAGAGATGGTAAGTATTATAACTATTTATTTCCTGCAGCTTTTGCATTTAATGTGTCACTCCAGCTTGCACATTAACCTTGGCCAAAATCATGTTGTACATTCTTGTCTGAATTCAATGTTCGTTAATAAAAAAATCATTTCTTTGGAGATGGACTGAGAAAAAAAGTGTTGATAAATGTTGGTTTAAGTAAAAAGGCACATAATTTCAAGAAAGTTTATGAGAATTAAAGGGTTGATTTTGGGTATGCAATACTTATTTTCAAGCAGTGATGTTTATAGTAGTGCTTGAATGTATGATTACCAAATGAGATGGCATAATGCAGCCTGTTTAAGATTAATGTTGTAATGATAAACGTAATTTCAATTAGGCTTCCACATAATGATATACTCATGGCTTTGAATATACAGAATTATATTTATGTTTATTGATTAGGAATTTTATGTTGGAAAATACAGATGCTGATTGGAGATCAAGTTCTAAATGTTTTGCTATGTTTGAACTTTGATTTTGATTTTGATTGTTAAGTTCTGGAAAATTAGAAGGGTCTTGCTTGAGCTAAAAACGAAGGGGCATAAAACTAGGCAAAGAGAGATTATTGGCATAGGCTGTAAACACAATCAATTACAAAAGGCCTCTTCACTGGGACAGGGATCAATCCCTGGTGAGCTGACTTAGAAGCATAAAGGGGATCTTAGCTGTACAGGCAGTAGTAGGCATTGTGATATATTTTTTTGTTGAAATCGTTTATGGATAATCACACTGAAAACCACAATTTTAAATTCTGGTGGAAGAATTGATTTGCTTAATATTAAAAAAAAACTACCAATGATGACCCTATTTTAGTAATGCTGCTCCCTTAATGCTGTTTACTCTAGTGATACCAAGCATAGTGGAGGGTCCCTTTTAATGTGACTTGAGTCTGAGGTTTACTGGGGTTTCTTTGTTTGTTCTGTAGGCACAGCTGGTGAAAGCATTTATGGGGAGAAGTTTCCAGGTAATATACAGTATCTGCATCACTATCTCTCTGTCTCGCAATATTTCTATAAGCTCAATTATCAACTCATGTTTATGAATAAACTATGATTGTAGCCCCTGTTCACTCTTTGTCTCTACTTTTTAAGTTTGTGATCATGTCTCACTGTCACAAGCTTCCTTCAGTAGGAATTGCAATGATCATTGCTCAGGGAAGTGTAGTCTATGAACTGAGTAGAATTATCTTGAAATTGCCAAGTGTTCAATTAGTATGTGTGTTTTCTGGTCTAGTTAAGTTATTATTTCAATGCTATTTAATTTGGGGACTTGTGAGTATTAATAGTGTTAGTTAACTTTTCTTCAGATGAGTCACCTGTGCTAAAACACTCTGGACCTGGCCTTCTATCTATGTCTGTTGCTGATCGTGACTCTTTAGGTTCTCATTTCAACATCACTTTTGCAGCTAATCGTAGTCTTGACAGGTATGATTTCATTCTCTTCTTTTTACTTCTCTTTTACTGTTGACCTGATTTTGTTTGCTTTTGTGTAAGTTTTCTTACTGTTTGCCATTTAGTAGTCAGTTTTATAAATTGGTGGTGACATGATATCCTCAGACTGTTCAATATCTGATGAGACAACGTATATTCTTCAGTCTAATTACAGTTGTATATCATTGTACAGAAAGCATATAGTTTTTGGGAAGCTTGTACAAGGACATGAGGTCCTCAAAAAGATTGAAAATGCGGGCGATGAAGATGGGAAACCAACTGTATTAGTTAAAGTGATCAATTGTGGCGATTATAATGAAGGTAATAATAATGGATAAACTACATAGTTGTATCTTACCTAATTTTCAGCAATATGAAAACTATGGTATCTAAGGGTTATTATTTTTATTTGATTGTTTGTATGTGCAGACATAAAGAGAGCAAGTAAAGTGAAAGTTGGGAAGGATGCTTCTTCAGAAGCTAATAGTCATGAAGTGAGGCGAAGGGGAAAACACAAAAAATCTTCAAAAGATAGAAGGAAGAGGAGGAGAAGGAGATATGATTCATCTGAATCAGACAGTTCCTCAGATTCCGAATCTGAATCATCCGAGTCAGATAGTGAGTCTGACTCGGACTTGTCCTCATCATCTTATGCTAGTTCTTCAAGTGATGACAGGCGTAAGAAAAGAAAGAGGTCTTCTAAAAGAGACAAGCAGAGACGTGGAAAAAGGCGGGATAAAAGGCGCGACAAAAAGCGAAGGCGTCGTGATAAGAAATCTAAGATCAGATCAAAAAGGTTATATGCTTAATATTTATTTGTAATTCAAAAGTTATTTTATAGTTTCACCCTTATTTTTCAGACTTTTTCACATGAAAATACTTTTTTACTTGAGTAGTGTTTTGTATAGTACACTCACTAGTCCTTGTTGCTATGTCTCTGTGCTGTAAAGCCCCTTTAGTTGATAAAGTTCCCGTCTGATATGTTTTTATTTATAGGAAACCTTATTCAGAAAATGGTATAGGTTTTATTATATGACATCCGAACGGTTATAAGGACTTAAATTCGCACTTTGCTGATATTTTAAATTCTGTTCTCTAGGGCATCGGACGGTCTTACTGATTCTGAGAGTGAAAATAAAAGTGAAAGTAGCTGTGAAGATGATGGCCTGGATGCCCAAAGGAAGGATCAAAAGTCTAAGAAGGACATCTCTGAAAAATCTGGTACTTAAACTAATTTTCTTGATTTCATTTAGCATTCTTGAGTTGTGGTAAATCTGTTATGATAATTGTTGTATCTCACCTTCAAGATGATAGTAGTTATTTGCTCGCAGATTTTACTTGTGGTAAATCTTTCTTGGTCAAGATTTTACTTGTTTACCTTTTCTTTTGCAACTTTGGTTTTTATAGCTAGGGGGTGGGTGGGGGTGATATTTGTTTTGGAGAAATGAGCAAATATAGCTATTGGTGACTGGGTTTGCTATATGTAAGGATCCTGTGGTTCAGCATCTTATTAGTGAATGGGTCAAAGCTATCCTTGAATTGTGTTTATTTATCATATATGCAACCTGCATTTTTCAAGCTTCTTATATTTTTACTTTTGGTGGGTTGAACTTGAATATCTGTTTTGTTGCGACTTTGGATTGTTAATGTTGAACTGCTGTGCTTAATGGAAAAATGAATTTGAGCTAAGATGATTCAGGACATTATTACAATGGGTCAATGCACACAAGCAGAACTGAGAAACTGTTTTTCACTGTCTTACTAATTGACTTGTGTTTCATTCTTATAGTCTTCTGTAATTTATGCAGTTGGAAACCAACCACTTCTTGCAGACGAAGGTGATGCTTCAATCTACTCTAAAAAGATGGAGGAAGCAGAAGTGCTTGTGAAAGACGGTGCATATCCTAAGGAGAATGGAGAGCAGCGGAGCAATGGACTTGCAGGTGCTAAATATGACAAAAGTGCAGATAGACAAGCCTGACATAGTTGATGATCACCCAGGGAAATCTAGGTCTTCTTTCCATTCTTGTCACACCTCAGTTATTCTTTATGCTTACCGATTCTTCCAGATCTGGTATTTTATTAAAAGTTGATGAGCAGGAGCCGAAGCTTCAGCCCTAAGAGGGCCATGAGTAAGAGTATGAGTATCAGTCCCAGGAGGAGTCCTGACCAAGAGCCCAAGTTTAAGTGGCAAACGGAGTGAGAGCAGGAGTTCGAGTGTTAGTAGAAGCCCTCCTCCCCCTCAGAGGAGCAGGAGCATCAGCAGGAGTCCTGTTAGAAGCGATAGCAGTAGAAGCCCAGTCAGAGGTTTCAACAGAAGTCCAATGAGGGGCTGGAAGGGTAGGAGTCCAGTGAAAGGCCGGTCTCAAAGAAGCATAAGCAGGAGTCCTGTAAGCAGGAGCCCACCATATAGCAGAAGCCCAGTAAAAGTTCAAAGAAGCATAAGCAGAAGTCCACCAAGAAAATCATTGCGCAAGTCAATTAGTAGAAGCCCTGTTAGAGCTTCAAGAAGCAGAAGTCCAGTCATAGTTTCTCGAAGGAGAGCAAGCAGAAGCCCTGTAAGGGTCTCCAGAAGCAGAAGCCCAGTTAGATCTTATCGAAGGAGTGCAAGCAGAAGCCCTGTAAGAGTTTCAAGAAGCAGAAGCCCAGTTAGATCTTCTCGAAGGAGTGCAAGCAGAAGCCCTGTAAGAGTTTCAAGAAGCAGAAGCCCAGTTAGATCTTCTCGAAGGAGTGCAAGTAGAAGTTCAGGTAGGGTTCCTTCTAGGAAAACTGCTAGCCGCAGTCCGTTGAGGGTCCCTAGCAGGAATAACCGTCGCAGCTATTCAAGGAGTCCTAGCCCAGTAGCGCGTAGGGTAAGGTCGCCTATGTCACCAGATCGGGGTAGGAGCTTGTCAAGAAGTGCTTCACCTGATGGCTCACCAAAGCGCATTAGAAGAGGGCGGGGTTTCAGTCAGCGGTACTCTTATGCACGGAGGTACAGAACCCCTTCTTTGTCTCCTGTGAGATCTTATCGTTATGGTGGTGGTCGAAGTGATCGTGACAGGTAATTTGCAAGTCTTTTGGAAAGTTCTTTTACCATCAGCTAGTGTAAGATGATATGATGATTTACTGGCAGCTTTGTTTTTGCATTGCAATTGCACATAACGTGCATGGCCAATTTGTGTTTCTAGATATTCGAGTTATAGAAGGTCCAGGTACTCTCCGAGGCGCTATAGAAGCCCACCAAGAAGAACACCTCCTAGGTATGTTGATCGCCCTCTTATAAGCTTCATCTATTGTGCATGACTAGTAATCAGGCTGCTTATGTTGAGTTGCATGTCGGTGAAGAGTCCGGGTTTCCAAAAAAGATATGTATTTGAAATAAAACTTGGAGCCATATGATTGTGTTCCCGCCTTAGTCGTTATGTTTGTGGTTGGATCATATCATTTAACACATATCTGCAGGTACAGAAGCAGAAGAAGCAGAAGTCCTGTATCACGTAGCCCCCGTTATCGCGGCCGAAACTATAGTCGGAGCCGTAGCCCTGTCCGAAGTCGTAGCCCCATCCAAAGCCGCAGTCGTTCTCCAGTGGAAGTGTCTAGATCACGTGTCTCTCCTCGGGTTGAGAGGGCAAGATCTCCATCCAGAAGCAGGAGCCCATCAAGATCAAGATCAAGGTCCTCTCTGGATTCCAAATCTCCAATTCGGAGCGGAAAAAGCAGGTCTAGGTCATCATCAGGAAGCCCAATAGGGAAGAAGGGGTTGGTTTCGTACGATGATGTTTCCCCTTAGCCGAGTTGAAGGGAGATGTTTTGTTCCACTTTTGGTGGATCAGACTAGCTTAGATTATAAATAATTGGATTGTTCAAGGATATGTATGTTGAGAAATAAGTATTGCTTGGGGTACTATGAGTTTTAGGCACGCGATCTCGTTGATGCGGTTTTATTGTATGCGGATTTTACCCATGAGGATTTGTGGATCTTGTGCTGCTAGATGGTCATATTTTTGTGCCTTTTCTTAATTTGAGTTTGAGTTCGTATGATTTGTTATACGTCGGAATAAAAGGGCGTTACAAATGCATATAACAAATAATTTGGCCCCAAAAGGGTCCTTAAAAATTATATCTGAATATATTACTTAGGTGATATTGGATTATAACACTCAAGATTGGATTGAAACGCTCAATGTCTAAATATATAACTTAATATCTTCCATGGCTTTTAGTTTCAAGCCAATATTTAAGTGATAACTAGATCTAAAACTTCCTGTTAATTGTGTGAGGGTCAAATGGTGACGACTATCACGACAACAATTAAACACCAACTAAAGCAAATTGAAGGTAAAAGGAAAGAAAATAAGAATGATTTAAGCAAATTGAAGGTAAAAGGAAGAGAATAAGAATGATCCTTCAAAAAAAAAAAAAAGACAAATACAGAAAAAAGAAAGTTGATAAAATGATTCTTATATGGGAAATTTTCCTTTTTGTTTTGGTCCTATTCTTAATAGGATAACTAGTTTGATTTAACCAAACACTGCCCGACCTTAAACTTAGCACCCAACTGAAAAAATCTTTTAGCTCAGTGGTAAAATGGTAATTACAAGATTAACCCGATACAAAAGGAAAAAACTGACCCGATCCGACGAACCAAAAAGGTATAAAAGGCTGCAAAATCCAAAGTAATTCAGCTTCTGAGTGACTCTCGCGCATAAAATTTGGCAATCGCTGCGTCCCGCACTCCGCAGAGGAGAAATAATCAAAAACACCAAACAAATTCTCACCGAGACGGCCGCTAAAATGTGAGGCGCGTGGCATCTACTTCCTCGGCTCAGCTCCAAAACCTCGCCGCCTCAGCCTCACGCAGATCCTCGTCTCTCAATCCCACCCGTCGGTTCGTAACCTCCTCGGCGTCCTTCCCCTTCGTCGACGCCGTTGGCCAAATCCGCGCCTCCCTCTTCCCCCCACATTGCCTCCGCTTCCACCTCCGGTGCGTCTCCATTTTCTTCCTTATTTATACGTTGTTCTGATCTCGATTAGGTTGTTATTTTCTGTTTGGTTCCCTGGAAAATGTAGGCGCATTTATTTATTTTTCGGATTTTCAGAAATGAGAAGCGGATTACCTGCTAATGATTGTGATTACATTATGCATCAAAAATGCAAAATTTCTCACATTGAAACCCTAATCCTCTGTGCGGTATCAAGAATTGGAGATTTTATATATAATGTGTTGATTTATATTCGTTTTGTGGTATATGAAGCTCTCAAGAAAAACCGTCAAGAAGTTCATCCGGCTGCTACCGGTCACGAGCTTGAGGAACTTGCTGCCGAGCTTGAGGTTGATAATTACGATTGTTGGTTTGCAATTTTATCGAAATGTTACGAAGATATGAGATTTTCTTAATTACGCGCTACTCTTAGTGGTTGATCTCATTACATGCAGGGAAGGGACGTTCTTGAAATCAATTATCCTGTTGGTCCCTTCGGTACCAAGGTAGTAGTTCCATTTGATCTCTTGGATTTCATTTTTGTTATAGTTAGTCGGTAAATAGGAAGGAACTTCGAGCATTTTTGACATGTTCTTGTTGCATCATTCACAAGTATGCATCATAAATGTGATTCGCAACATGATTGGAAATTTAATGTTACCAGATTTTGTGCTTCACTGTTCTATGGCATGGGCTTGCCCGGCTTGCCAAGGGCATCTCGCTTAACAAAAACAAAGGGACTAATCATCTTAATCTTCTTTTAACTGCCAAAGAGTGATGGACCGATGGTTGTCTTAGAAGTTGTGTAAACCAGTGCTCGTGGAAGTCTTTTAACTGTATTCCTAATCTTGAAAATTCCTAATAATTGCGGGAGATCCTGTCTTTTTAGTGAAAGAATAAAACTTTGCTTGTCAATATCAAATCTCTTTGTGCACTCTACCTCTCATTTCCTTGCATAAATGTCAAATGAATGCGAAAGTGTGTAAAACTGTGCACAAAATCTTCCATTTAACTGGAAATATGTGCTGGTCTTCAATCAACATTCTCATTTAACTGATCCTACTATACTTTCGGTCTTGTAGGAAGCACCTGCAATTGTCAAGTCTGTCTATGACAAAAGAATAGTTGGATGCCCTGGTATTGAGGGAGGAGGTAAAGTTCTCCATTTAGTTACATAATATTTTTATCCCTGGTCAACTTAAGTCATTCCGAGGTTTCCTAACTGTAATTTCTGAATATGTCTGCAGAAGATGAGCACGATGTCGTGTGGTTTTGGCTGGAGAAAGGAAAGATATATGAATGCCCTGTCTGTACCCAAGTTTTTAAGGTGACTGGCTTGAGTCTTATTCTTTCCTTTTTATTCTTTTCTTCTATCCCTCCTCGTGTTGAAAGTCGTTTCTTTCTGTGTCTATTCACTACGGTATGGGTAGATAATTACGTTGTAGTCTCTGTTACATCTTTTGTAAATAGATGAACTTGTGCTTGAAATAATCAACTTCTCTAATCTGTTAACAGCTGGAAGTGGTTGGCAAAGGAGGTCCTCCAGACGGTCATCATTGATCCGCCCGACAAGTTTCTTGCACAAATAAAAATTTGATTTACGCGACGAGGAGGCAGTTTTTTATACTGTGTAGTTTCAATAATTCGTTTTTGGCTTGTTTACCGTAGTTCTTAAGAGATTGTGTCCGACCGATGTTTCAGTCGGTGATAATTTTGGTTTCATGGTCTGTTCATTGGAATTGGATTCTTTTGAGTCGCTAATATTTTTGAATTGTGTCCGAAGATCAAAATAATCGTGAATACATTGTTTTTCAAAGAAAAATCGATGGTTCATAATGCCTTTACATAATCGTCTCTTACTTTCCATTTATCCATTGAAAGATGTTACGTGTTGTTCGAAATCGTCAACAATTTAGAACAAAACTTATGTTACACTCCTTTTCTTCTTCTCTTTTTGTTTGGAACTGGGAAGCGATTACCGCACATCACTTTTCAGCCCTGGCACACCCTTGATTTTTTTGGACTCTAGAGTGAATAAATCAAAGAAGAAATAAAGGGTAAAAGTAAACATGGGTGCGGAGAACGAGAAAATGTGCGTGCGGAAACCATTTCATTGTATTGACTATGGTTTTGAGGTCAAAGACAGTAAAAAATGAGGGGTAAAGCGGATAAATTGTTGGATGTTTGTGTCTTATGCGTTTGGAATATCCTCTAATAGTGCTTGTTATGGGACCCCAAGACCAAAGATATTTGGAGCTTATTTCCAAGAATTCGATGAAACGAAGCATTGGAATCTTCGAATTTTTTGTCTCAAGTCTCAACTTTGTGTGATCATTTTCTTGGTAAGTTTGTATACAAAGCTTCAACCCTGAAGACTGCTTAAGCATGCCTGCCCCTGCTCTGAAACCAGTACTCCCAACAATGTCAGCTCCTCGGGTTCGCGAGGCAATCAGGCAGTATCTCTCGGAGGCTCAGTCGGATTCTCACGGAGTGCAGCAGAAAGCTCTCCAGACTTTAGTTTCCATCACCAAGGTGAGTCCCCAAAACAGGAGCTTGGTTTCACAGACAGAAGGAGCCATCCCCACCTTACTTGCCCTCTCGAAATCTTCCTCCGACAGCATTCAGGTTCTCTCGCTGTCTGTCCTCTTCAATCTGTCCCTGAATCCGGATCTGAAGCAATCTCTAGCGGATATTAAAACCCTTAAACATCTGAATTCGATAATTGCCTCTTTGACCTCCGCGGAGTCCGGCAAGGTAGCTTCCTCTCTGGTTTGCAGTTTGGCAATGCTTGACAAGAACAAGGCCAAGTTTGGTGTAGCAGGCACCATCCAGTTACTAGTCAAGGTCATTTCCGGCCCTCGCAGCCCTGCCATCCATCACCTCCTCAGCTCTCTAGCTGAGCTTGTTCGGTTCCACGGGAACTGCACTTTGGCAGTGAGAGAAGGAGCTGTTCAAGCGCTCATCCAAGTGCTGGAGAGCAGTGACAGCGAGGATCTAGCCGGAACTTCTCTCCAGGTTCTTGGCCTTCTTGCGAGGTTTGATGAAGGACTGAATGCTTTGAGCAAAACCGACCAGATTGTGAGCTCAATGGTAGAAGTGTTAAAAGGGAGGTGCATGCTGAGTAAGGAAGGTGCGGCTGAAATCCTCCTGCTCCTGTTTGATGAAAGTGAGGGCTGCGTGAGAGACGCTTTGCGGCTGCCGGACTTCTCAACTTTGGTAGCTGATATTTCGGTCAGAGGATCACCGAGAGCCCGAGAGAAGGCGGCGTTGCTGATGAAGAAGATCATGGAGGATGACTTGGATTCTTACTGTTGATGGAAACCCCATGTTTTCTCAGTGGTAACTGGTTGTAGAGAGCGCAAGCCCGCAGGCTTAGATGTAGCCAAGTTAGCTACAAGTGTAATTGCCCTTTTGCCTCCAAGTTCAAATCCCTCTCTTCGCAGTTAGATTAATTGAAATATCGAATCAAATAAAACTAAATTGATAGGAGAGAGCTCTTGTTAGTTTGAAGTTCTATGTTATTTGTTAAAACTTAAAGCTTGTTTTGTATAGTTGTCAGTCATGACATGCCAACTTTATACGTGAAAGGGTTTTTGGTAAAAGTTGGATACATTCAGTTATTTTAAAAACATTTCTAAATAAGCGTTTTTAGATAACTAAAAAGAGTTCATATAATACTGACAATTAAAATGGTTTGTTGTATCAAAATGGGGCTCTGTTCATGTTTGTTTACCCATGCATGTTAGTGAACCTTATAAAATGTTTGGCAGAGGGTACTAGTGGATGAATGATCTCTTGGAAAGTTTTTCGCGTGTTTGGGCGAGGGTGGTACTAGAAGTAGAATGAATGACCTCTAAGATTTTTTTATGTGGTTATTTAACATTACAAATTTACATTTTAGTAATATTTCTCTCTATTTAAAAGTGAGAAATCTCATTAATTGCAAATTCAATACCAAATTATTAGAATTGTCTTGTTGTGCGTCTAAGCCAAATCTCCTACCATTTGATGTAAGTATATCGTCGAAATAAAAAACCAACTACCATCCTACTATCATCTGGTGAAAAGTAGATAGTTTTCCTTTAATAAAATAATAAGGCCTAAAAAATATTGCACGGGGCCTATGGAAATTCCATGGACCTGTCCTAATATCCTATTATTATTATTATTATTATTATTATTATTATATTATTATTATTATTTTGCCAAAAAATATATTTTACAGTCATATGTCCACATTGGGCTCACCATGCCACGATTCAGCATTGTTGTTGTTCATGTAAGCGTCATGTCACGCGTTAATAGAGATTCTAATGAAAATTTTAATATAAATATGAAAATATCACACAATCTTTATTTTGGTATGAGATTAAGATGAAAAAAAGTTGTCTGAAAGTTTGAAAACCAAAATTGTGACATCTCACATCGTCTAGGGGAGTGATCCTTATATGTATATTCTCATCTTTACCTAGCACGAGGTCTTTTGGAAGCTCACTGGCTTCGGGTTCTATGAGAACTCCGAAGTTAAGTGAGTAGTGTGCGAAAGCACTCTCGTGATGGGTGACCCACTGGGAAGTTTCCGTCTGAGTTCCCAGAAACAAAACCGTAAGGGTGTGCTGGGTGGGGGCCCAAAGTGGACAATATCGTGTTACGGTGGAGTCGGGCCCGGGAAGTGGTCCAACCCAAGCCGGGATGTGAAAATTTGGTATCAGAGCCTAATCCTGGCCGTGGTGTGCCGACGAGGATGTCGGGCCCCTAAGGGGGGTGGATTGTGACATCCCACATCGCCCAAAGAAGTGATCCTTATATGTATATTCCCATCTTTATCTAGCACGAGGTCTTTTGAAAGCTCATTGGCTTCGGGTTCCATGGAAACTTCGAAGTTAAGCAAGTGGCGCACGAGAGCACTCACATGATGGGTGACCCACTGGAAAGTTCTCATATGAGTTCCCTGAAACAAAACCATGAGGGTGTGCTGGGGGGCCCAAAACGGACAATATCATGCTATGGTAGAGTCAGACCCGAGAAATGGTCCCGACCAGGCTGGGATGTGACAAAAATACTGCACGATAGTAAAGTAAGAATTACTCTTGAAACTTTCCATCACGATTCAACTCATTCATGCTTGAAATTTGTACCACATTTTTATTTATTCCTTAAATCTATTGAGATCTATTAAGTTATTCAGTCTAAATTCAATCTTAAGTACCAAAAAAGTCATCTAATGTGTGTAGTTTTTCTTTTAGTTGTGCAAACATTGACTGGCCAGGTTGAATATATTCATAAGACTTATTTACATATCTTTTTAATAAATCAGTTCTCGACAGAAACACTTCGAAAGAAAGCAACATGTCTTGAATCATTCTTTCATCTTTTCATAGCTGAAATTATTTTATTCATCCGAAGCCACAACCCACACTGAATATAGTATATACAACACATATTCTTCCGGTACGTTTTAAAAAATTGACTACAATACTTATATGTATTTAATGTAAACATCATTTGACGGTCATATATAAATTATATAAATACATGTATTTAATATAATTATTATTTAACCGTTGAATGATAATTGCATTAATACATGTAAGTATTTTCCTAAATCCAACGCAAAATAAAACAAAATACATATGTTTATGGTGTGCGTTTTTATCCAAAATGTTCGCCAAAGTAAAAAATTTATCTTAATATGGATTTTTGTCTATATTCAAGCCCTCAAATTTATTGTCGATATTTGTAACGCCTAGAATTATAAGCAGGTGATTCCAATTTGTACCCCTCCCCTCCCATTCTACTCTCTCTCTCTCTCTCTCTCTCTCTTCTTTTTCCTGGTTTTGGTAATTCCTATAACCTTTGGAATTCTAGAACTTAATATTGCTTGTCTTCTAGTCTTATTTTGTCCACATAAAGGATATACACGATATAATAAAAATAGGATACACGTGTGGTAGTAAGTTTTATTTTTATTATAGAAATGATACAAATGTGATATGAAAATTATAGTAAGTGTAACATTACTCTTAACCAATGTTTAAATCATTTTTCACCTCTTTGTATGATGTTCTGTAGTCTATGACTGGGAGCGAGCTAAACGGCCGATGCATCTATGAAGATACAGTTAAAATGGTTGGAATGCCCGCCAAATGTCCAAAACTACATGTAGCAGTCGGACACCTCATACACGAAAAAGGGGACACATTGTTTAGCAACAACACGAATCAATCAAATAACACCAAAAATTGAACATCACACTGACAGCTTTTTTCGTGAGAATCAAAACCCTAATCTCTATAATAAAAGCACTGCTTAGTTGGTGCTAAATCCTCACGTTCTCTACAAACTACTCAAGCTTAAGCACCTTTTGAGTGCTTGTGTGTGACATTGTTTTGGGTTGTGATAAGGAAACAAAATGAGCAACATCACATACGCACCTTTGCCTAGTAACCTCATACCGGATGATGCCAGTCCGGCAGTGGATGAACAAAGGTGACAACGCGTGGCAGCTGACAGCCGCAACTTTGGTTGGCCTCCAGAGTGTCCCGGGGCTCATAATCCTATACGGTGGCGCGGTGAAGAAGAAATGGGCTGTGAACTCGGCCTTCATGGCACTCTATGCATTTGCTTGTGTTCTTATTTGTTGGGTTGCGTGGGGATACCAAATGTCATTTGGGGATGTCCTAATCGAGGGTCTTCGGTTTTGGGGGAAACCTGACGTGGCACTTAACCAGCAGTATCTGTTGGGGCCGGCATTTATGGGGAAAATACCAAATGCCACAATGGTTTATTTCCAATTTGTGTTTGCAGCAATTACTTTGATTTTAATTGCTGGGGCACTTTTGGGAAGGATGAACTTTTATGCTTGGATGTTGTTTGTGCCTTTATGGCTAACTTTTTCATACACCATTGGAGCTTTTAGTATTTGGAGCCCTAACGGGTTTCTGTCCAGAAAGGACTCATTGATTATTCTGGTGGGTATGTGATCCATCTTTCTTCTGGTGTTGCTGGGTTCACAGCTGCCTATTGGGTAGGAAAACCCTTCTTTCTCATTCTTCTTTTTGCTCTTTCTTTTTCCGGGTCTTCATAAATAAGTCCCTTGGAAATCTCTATCATAGTAGAAAACAATAAGCACCTTCTCGATGAAAAAGAAAAACTGGACTAAACTGTTATTGGACTCGAATATCATTGCATCGAACATTAATAGTTGACAGGCGAGGTTCTTTTCTTCTTTATGTAGTTTGATTCATTAAGTGTTTCTCACTAATATTAACAGTTACACTACGCTAGGTATCTTCTCAATTGCTAAACTTTTATGTGGAGCACATTTTGTAGCAAAATTACTTTCTCTTACCCTCTGAAGTCTCCTCTTTTCAAACATTTTTGCAATACATGTCTCAAAACCAGAAACTTCTTAAGAAGTATGATTTGATTCGGGGTCTAATTCGCGATGCAGGTTGGTCCACGTTCGAAGAAAGACAGGGCAAGTTTTCCTCCCAACAACATTCTTCTTATGTTGACTGGTGCAGGACTTCTCTGGATGGGCTGGACAGGGTTTAATGGCGGAGACCCTTACGTGGTCAGTGTTGATGCCTCCTTGGCTGTGCTGAACACTCATGTCTGCACTGCTACCAGTTTGCTCACTTGGCTCTTGCTTGACATCACTTTCTTCCGTAAACCTTCGGTCATAGGGGCAGTTCAGGGAATGATCACTGGTTTAGTTTGCATCACCCCTGCTGCTGGTAAGTTCACAAAATCTACAATTTTGCGTATCCGGCTCATAAATTCTCTATGCAGGACATCTTGTCTTTAAGAGGCACAACGCCATGATAAAATCTCACTTGTACTCAATTTTCTTCGAAGTTAAGTTTTAGGTTTGGAGTATCAAATTCCGGTACCAGATACTAATAGCCACGGTTGCATTTTCAATCTCCTATATAGGTGTTGTGCAAGGCTGGGCAGCAATACTGATGGGGTTATTTTCTGGCTCAATCCCTTGGTTTACCATGACGGTTGTCCACAAGAGATCTTCGCTCCTTCAGAAAGTTGACGACACAATGGCTGTCTTCCACACTCATGCCATCGCCGGCGCCCTTGGTGGAATCCTCACCGGTCTCTTTGCCCACCCGCGGCTTAGCTACTTGTTCTATACCTCATACGGTACGTATGTTGGCCTATTCTATGGTTTCCACATGGGAGGTCGCCACGTGCACACCGGCTTTCGTCAAGTGGGAATCCAACTGCTCGGGATCTTTTACATTGTGACACTAAATGTTGTGGTCACAAGCATTATATGTAACCTGATTCGGTTATTAGTGCCGCTACGGATGTCCGCGGAGGATATGGAGATTGGTGATGAAGCCGCTCATGGGGAAGAAGCTTATGCTGTCTGGGGACAAGGCGAAAAGCTTGACAATTCAAGGTTTGGAGGATATGATATTGAATCATCAGCTGCCAAAAGTAGAGCAGCTGCTGGACAAATTGAAATGGCTTAAAGCTCATAGATTTTGACGCTACAAATTGCTCAACAGATAATTGAAAGGATAAAAGCTTTGTAATGTTGAATTCTATCTGTACTACAGAGATTTTCAGATTCTGATTTCTTACGGAAAATTTCAATAAACTTAATAATATCACAAGTTTCGATATAATATCTAACGGCTAAAAAATCTCAAAGAATAAGGTCCCTCGGAGCATATAGAAAGCCGGAATATCGAATTGATAGCATCTGCTGGCCAACTGAAAAGGAAACACAGCTAACCGTGTAGCAATTACATATCTTATTTTCCACCACTATACAAACTATTTGCAATAACACCACTGTCAACCGCAGAGCTATCATAATCATCTCTATTTTTTTTAATTTGATACATAAACTTGATAATAAAAATTTCATATACGTTTTATTATTGGTAAATAAATAATGTAGTAACACCAAATAAAGAGACAAAAGGGAGAGCTCCCATGCAAAGAGCCAAATTACAAAGCAGCAAGAAGAAACAAGCACCCAAAAAAGCCTTAAAACCAACGGGTTGCAAAAGATGCAAAGGGAATAGACCAAGCAAGGAACAAAAGAAGCTGCAAACCAAGTAGAAAAGACTTGGAAAGAATCAAAAGTAGACCTCTAAATTTGGATCCCACAACCTCATGAAATTAAAAAACCAAAAATAAAAAAGGTTACTATCAAAGCAATATATGTAAATGATGAGTTGTAAGCCTGTAACCCCATCATATAGGTGTAGCTCTACTATTTTCTATGAACCAACACAGAAGGGCGGAATGAGAATCAAACTAAGGACCCCTTGCAAATAAGGTTTTGAAATCTTGTTGAGTATGAACTAGATTCTAAAGTTCAAATTATCAAAGAATGAGCCAACAATATGTATCAAGCTTACAATACTAAAACCATGTCCAAATATGACACTACTGATAGAATTTAAAATTTTATATCATCTTACACAATATTTTCGGAGAATCATATCAAGCCACAACATCTCTTGTATGATTTCTTATCTAGAACTTGAAATTTATAAATTATTTTCTGAACCCTTTTTTTTTTTTTTTCTAATTTCTAAAAAATTCTGAAAATTTTATCTCATTGTATCCCCAATTTGGTGTAGCACGTCATCTTATTTGATTTCTTACCTTCATTCATCTTATTCTCAGACAAACTCATTTCTGCACTTGAAAACCCATCACTTATATTTTTCCTCCTAACAAACGAGCCGAGCTGCTCATGACTGATGAGGGATTACTTCGCCCCACAAGGGGAGTTTTTCCCCAACAATTTTCTTAGGCATGATCAAGGCCACACTCCTTCGACCATATACTACATGATGTTGTCACTCATTGCAATTACTTATAAATAAATAAAATAAATAAACAAAATGGAAAAACCCAAAAATAATCCAGTAATTTGAGGCCCAGCAGCACAGCAGAAGCAGCGAGGTAGGCCCTATATACAACAAAGCACATTGAAACTTGCTTGTATTTTATATATGCATATGATAGTCACAAGACTCACAGGCATTTAGCAGATGAATTAATTATTTATAAAATAATTAACAAGGCCTTGGAGCCTGCAGAGTGGAGAACATGTGGAATGTGTTAATAATATAAAATTCAGAAAATTTTCGACAACCCGAAAATATTATTCGTTAAGCATCATTAGCTTTAGTCTAATCTCCATTTTGAGCCATTCTTAGGCATTGATTTGGTATTTTGGTTACAATATTGAAGTGTTTACACTTTGATGCCAAACTATAAGCAATCAAATTATATTTTCAGTTTGGGGAAGTCTCAAAGGAATCAGAAAAGGGAAGTCATATTCACACACATTTTTAGCTTCTTACTCATCATTATTTAATTATAACCGTTGATTTCATTTGATTTATTCAATTTGGTGACCATAAATACAAGGGATTGTGTAAGAAGCTAAATGGGTGTGTGGAAATCAAAAGCTAAAAAGGGTGTGTAAAAGGAGTAGGATTCTTTCTCCTCTTATTTCCATCTCCTTCCCTCCATCCCCCTTCCCTCCCCTCACACTCACATTTTTGTCTTTTTCTTTCTATAAAAAATTCAAAATAAGATGTTGACGTGATTTAATCGTAACGGTTTAAATAGAAGGGGAGGGAAGGGGAGAGAGATTAGGAGGGTAGAGAATTCTCCTCCGTGTAAAGATTGTTTTGTATCAGGAAATCAATAATTACTTGTAATATGGTTCAATAGTATTCGTTTTCATGTATAAGTGAGATGTCTTATGTTCGATTTCCATGAATAGAGAGTTAAATACCTAATTATAATGTCTAACTCATGGTGTTAACAAATTAATCACGTCTGATTAGGAACACTCAGATATCCACTTTGATGGACGGGAATATGTGATTTATAGGTTAAATAAGGCTAAAAATCATCAGTGCGAGATCTGTTTGAGTCCCATCCCATGATTATTCCAAATGCAAAGAAGATTGCGAGTCTCACTTTTGTATGTAAACCAAAATTTTCATTGCACAAATAGATAACTATGATTCTGATTTCAATAAGTGATGGTTGACTACTTAAAAGGGAAAACTAAAAGTCACATAAAACAAAAGCACTAAAACTTTATGACGTTCTTTTGTCCTAAATTCCTCATAGTTGTATGATAAGATATTTACCGTCTTTCTTTTTCATTGTGTAAGCAAATATGTCTTTAAAGAATAGGATTAACTCAAGCGGAGAGGGAGAATATGTACTACTAGTAATTGAGTTAGGGTATACGGTCGATTGAAAGTTCGACTTCAATTCCTTTCAATGTAACCACAACAAAGTTGGAGCTTAACAAATCAAAAGGAAAAATATCACTAAATGTAAGAATTAGTAGTTAATGTTAATAATTTTTGTATTGCATTTTAGCACAAGTAGCATAGAGGAGTGCCAATTTAGACGAGCATCTTCACAAATATATGAGAGTTGGCCTCACCTATATTTCGACAGATGGAATGCCACTTTTGCTTGTGGTAAACAAGTATGCCATCTGAGGAACAAACTCAAGGATACTAGGTGAATTTACACACCAAAAAAAGGCAGAAAAGATGAAGAATCTTAATGTACCACTTTATTGTCCCAATGGGTTGCATATCTTGCATTGTTTCTCGACGAGAGATATTAAAAAAAAAGGAAATGGAAGACAGAGATTTGAATTGAGATGTCTACACATGTAATGCATGTGGAGGGAGTTTTAAATAATGTCGGATTGGTAAATGACTTCTTGTAAGTTATTTGAAAATCCTTTGTTTGTAGATTTGTAATGTTTATGTAGTACATTTTTAATCTCATTTTGTAACGTATTTAACTAATTTAATTTAAATATTTTGATACTTGGAAATCCCTCGTCTAAAGTTCCAAACATTATTATATAGTTTATAAATTACTTATTTGCTGAATTTGCATTTGTATTTAACTATTGAATTCAAGCACAGTTTAATAATATTTCTATCCACTTATAAGCAAAATGTATCACATTCATCCCAATAACTCAATCCAAGACAAGAAACATCTTCAACCTCCATTGAGGTATGTGGAGTTTAATATTTTGAAAAAGAAGGTATTTACCGATTTAGGGTTTAGCATCTCATCAGTGTCCTTCCTCCTCAATCCACTTTGTTTCGGATTCAAAACTCTTTTAATTCCATTCGGTGTAGATTAAATATTTTCAATCTTATGGTTAGAAATAAAAGAGAAAATGTAATGGGATAAAAAAGAGTGAAAATCAATTTTTTTTTTTTTTTTTGATCTTTCTAACAGGATATTTGCAAAAATTACAAAAAAAAAAAAAAAAAAGAAAGATGGAAAACTCTGGTAAATTATAAACAAGTGGTGGGACATGGGAAGGGCATTTTGGTCTGGGCATTTGGCAAAAAACTGTAAGAAAGTGAGTAGTTTTCAGACCTTGTAAATTTCACCGCCTGTGTGCTTGTAGGTGGTTTTTGAGGTATGATTGATTCATATGAACAAACAAAAAAGAAAAGGAGTGAGAACAGAGGCTGAGACTCAGAGAGAGAAAGTTGTGGGAAACAAAGAAAAGCAAAACACAGAGAAGTAAGAAGAAAGAGAAAAAGCCATTATTCTTTTGGGAACCAGGTTGGTACTAAATTAAAAAGATCAAACCCCACTTTTCTTTCTCACTTGCAATATTTATTATTCAATAATATATATATATATATATATCTATATTTCGTAGATCATTTTCAGCACCTGCAATTTCATTTCCTCGTTCAACTAGTGAAACATTTCAAACTTCTATTTTTATTTAATGGGTATCTTTCAAAATGTCTTTTTTTTTTTTTTTTTTTAATTTATTTGAAAAAAGAATGGAACTTTCCTTCGTATTTCAGAAAGAAAATCCATTTGTGGTTTTGTATTCTTGGGTTGCTGTAGCTGGAAGTGCTTTACTTTGCCTGCTGCCCACTAGCATTAGATTCTTTGCTTTCAATCTCTGTGAACAATGAGCATTGCACACTCCAAAAGACTTTGATAGTTCATTTTTTCTGCATTTTTGTGCTCATAAATCCTCCTAGCTTATCCTGCGCCTTCTTCTTCTCTGGGTGCCTTTCCCTTTCTGATATTGTTGATTAGAACCACTGTTTAACTTGTCTTAGGACTTATGCAGATTCATGGGTTTTATTACATGTGCACCCCCTTACATTGGTATAAATAGATAAAGCCAATATTGAGTTTCTCAATTGTAGGAAGACTCTTCGGTGTGCATTTCGTGCAGAGAGAATGAGCTTCAATAGCTCCAACGCCGCTTCTGGTTAGTCATTTCTGTCTGCTGATGTCTATTTCGTTTGTATATGGAGTAAAGTAGCTTGTAACAACTAGTTATCTTGGCTCTTGCCGATATTCTGATTATATTAGGCCTGCTGGTTTTATGTTGTGACAATTTGCTGCTGCAATATGTCAGGTAGTAGAACTGGTAGCAGGGCGTTTGAGTTTGGAAGGACCCATGTAGTGAGGCCTAAAGGGAGACACCAAGCAACTATAGTTTGGCTACATGGCCTTGGTGATAAGGGTTCAAGGTACTACGGCTATTCTTTTGCAGACTATCATTTGTTCTATTGTGATTTGAAAACACTCTTTGCATTTTGTTACAATTTGTCATCGCTTTAGTTGAAACTTAGTCCATGTAAACCGATCCATCAGTGGAACTTAAGTTCTTATGCATGATCAAATTATAGCTAATCATGGATTGCGGATGTGCGTGGATCAATAGTTATGATGTTAAGAATGCGCAGTTTTATAATTGTCATCTATGTGAGCCTGATATTCCTTCTTTATATGAAACACTTGGCGTGAGTGTGATTCCTTTTCCATTTAAATGAGCATATTCTTGTAAGCGAATGGTGGACTTGTTTGTTGCACATAAAGGACAAAGGAGGAGAAGCTGGACAATGTCAATATGTCTTTGTCCTGATCTGGAAAAGTCTGTTATTTAACTAATTCCTTGAACTCTGTTGCAATTAGAATCTAATTGAATCCTGAGTACAATGTGATTAGTTGTCTTTTTCTTCCTTTTCGTTTCACTCTGAGTCCTGACGGAGAAGTCTTGAATCAAGTATTTGAATATTCCAATGACAAGAATAGGGGACCACTTTTTGACTAGCTTAGTGGCCCTTTAAGCTGATAATCAAGTTGAAATATACTAATTAATAATTGACATAGTACTCATTCAGGACTAATTAATCTCAAATATTCGTTTTAACGAAGAATGATTGGACCATTTTGAGCTAGGACATTTGAAAGCATCAGAATTCTACAATTATTGATTAGTTTTATGCTTATTTTGATTATATGTGCTCCCAAAATTATATTGTATATGATTTTAAGAAGTGTTTCCTAAATTGTTTTGTATTGGTTTTCAAGCTTGAAGTGTGCCACCAACCTTCGTAGCTATTGGACTCAAAATACTATGTTATTCCAGCTCAGATTTTGCTCATTTGACGAGTGTGGTTAGTGAGTACTGAGTAGTGACTAAGTTGGATTTTCCCACTGTGTGCTTTGTTTTGCAGTTGGTCCCAGCTCTTGGAAAGCCTTCCTCTTCCTAATGTAAGGATGGTAACTTTAAGTTTCATTGTACCATTAAGCAACATTCATCACCAGCAGCCTTAAACCTTCTATTATTACAGAATATGCTGCCAAGTTTGGTTAATAGAATTTATTATCTGTATTTGTTGAACTTATTATACAGATTAAGTGGATTTGCCCTACTGCTCCTTCTCGACCTGTAGCTCTATTTGGCGGATTCCCTTGCACTGCTTGTAAGATTGTTTTAGTTTCCGTATTTATCTTTTTTTTTTTCTGAAAACCACCATCAAGTCCAGGTTGGCTTTGAGCTTTATCATATGGACAATGATTGTCCAAAATATATGTGACGCATAGTCTAAAGTGTTCAGGTGATTTATTACAGGGTTTGACATGGGAGAAATTTCAGAAGATGCTCCTGATGATATGGAGGGGTTAGATGCCTCAGCAGCGCATGTCGCAAATCTTTTGTCAACAGAGCCTGCTGATAGTAAGTTCTCTTGAAAGCTCTAACTCTAGTATTTAGTTACAATTGTTAGAAACTGTGTACAGTTAAGGATTTAACATAAAATATTTGGGCGGCTGATAAATCTTGGTAGACTTAAAAGATTAAAATGTAAAGAGTTCGGGGAATTGGGAAAATAGTCAAATTTCTCTGTAAATTCCAACCTCCACTGTTCTATAGTGAACTTATTTGCCTTCTTGTTCATACAGCTCTCATGAGCCATGAGTTACCTGAGAAAAAGTATATATGATCAGTTCTCCTATTATCTCCTGCATTTTCTTCATCCAGTTTATTTAATTTTGTTTGTGTCATGGAACAAGTTCATTGCATAATTGATTTTTACCAAGTGAATTGCATACTCTCACTTGATCTTCACCTTTGCTATTGAAATGTCTCTAACCTTATTTTTCCAAGAAGGTTCTTGTGATTAGCAAATTTACGCAATCAATGATATGGTAACTTTCAACAAAGAACTATTAGCAGAGGAAGTTGGTTGTTTAGCTATTACAACAAATTCTATGGGGGAAATAACTGATGAAGTTTTGTTAAGTTGGGAGTCGGATATTCTTATAAAATGATCGACTGTGTAAAATGATGTGTTCTTGAGGTATTTTTTTCTGATTGGAATTACGAATTCTTTTGTATGACTAGTTACTTTTTACTATCATGAACAGTAAAACTTGGTGTTGGTGGCTTCAGTATGGGTGCTGCAACTGCCCTCTACTCAGCCACGTGCCGTGTTTTAGGGCAATATGGGAATGGAAACCCGTACCCAGTTAACCTAAGTGCAATTGTTGGTTTAAGTGGCTGGCTTCCATGTTCAAGGTTTGGCCTCTTTCATATGCGCATTGCGCACTGACTTAAAATTGCTCATGTACAACACATCAGCACAACCTACACATTCTGTTATAAGCAGTCGGTTCATCCGTCTTTCTTTTTGTGTGGCAGAACTTTGACGAACCAGATGGAAAGGTCACACGAGGCTGCAAGGCATGCAGCATTCTTGCCCATTTTGTTATGTCATGGCTTAGGTAAACATATTCTTCTCATATTTGGTAGTATAGCTTCAGTTATTTGGTAGAATCTCTTCCCCTACGTCCCGTTCCATAAGTAATTTTGAAGAATTTGCAAGTTTCCAGTTGCCTGCTCGTCTTAATTGGTTATAATTGCAACTTCCAAGGATGCCTTAATTCTTCATTGCAGGTGATGATGTGGTCGCATATGAACATGGAGAGAAATCTGCGCAGACCTTGAATTCAGCAGGATTTAGAAATCTCATGTTTAGAAAATACAACGGGTATGTCATTCGTCCTCAAGGACTTGTTCTTTTCAGTATCAATTTCTTGAATGCTTACCTAGTTTGGCAGTGCAGGCTGGGTCACTACACAATCCCTGAAGAGACCGATGACGTTTGTACTTGGCTAACTTCTAGTCTGGGGCTTGAGGGATCCCGATCTTACTAGCGGAAGATATCTGGGAATGGTGAGTTAGCGCAGGGAATACAAACGAGGAGATTATAAAAAATAAAAATAAAAAAATAGAGGATTAGAAGGGGCATACTACATTAGATGGTGGTATGGGCATATATACATGGTAGTGGCATTTCTTATAGCTACTAGTGCCTTGTGATCTCTATCTCACTCTCCGTGGTACTCTCTTTTCCTTGCAATAACTTTCTAACCGAGGCTGACTCTTGTACTTGCGTCCTGGTTGCCCGGTTGCTGCGAGCTTTGTACGTGTGTTGTTTAGGGTAGGGGATGGGAGCTGGATGGAATCTCTTCGTCCCCATCCACAAAATTTTGTTGTTTTGATAATAAAAGTGATTCTGAATATGTCAGTATTTTGGAAATTTTAGTAATGCATGTAAAATGGTAGAGAATGATGGTTCTTAATGGATACTTGAGTGTTTATACTTTGTACTTCATAGCCTGATTTAGCCGTTGGATTTTCACTGTGATTTAAACCCTAGATTAGCATTCAAACTAACCGAGCCTGGGCCAATTTGGCTTTTCAAATCCTATCCACAAATTTCACCCCCAGCCCACAAGCCCACAAACGAATTCTCTTTTTTTTTTTTCTTTCTTTTTATGCAAGCAATACAAACATAGGACCTCTGTTTCATCAATAAATGCCATAAACATTTGAGCACCAAAATTCTTGCCAATTTGCTTTCAGTTACAGAGTGGCCTTACCAATCTGTGCATAGTTGAATTTAATAAAAAAAAGAAAATTACAAATTTTTTTAGCATCATGTTTATCGAATAAATCGTTATCCCATAAGATTGAATTTAACTTATTTTTCGAAATTACAAAAAATAGAAAAGGATAACAAAAATTACCAAGAACTGGGACAATCAGTAGTCATTGCCTAAGTGGGAATAAAATTGTAACAACAATTAAATGATAACTAAGATCATGAGAAACAAGATGACAATGTTGCGTTTCCAATTTTATGCAATAACCTTTGCGAAATGCTGCCACTTTGGTACACTTACATACCAAATCGAATGACTGCACATCACAAAAATAGGGGGGAAAATATTTGTAAGATATCTGAAGATGTTTCCACACTCGAACCGGACAACTGAGCCCACAGAACAATGTCGGCAAACGTCTTCTGCTTCCAATTGCAAAAAGTAAAAACCAGAGACACCCCCAAAGTAAAAACTGAAACAAGAAACATGTAGGTAAGCATTTTGATGACAACTTCAGAACTATAATATGAGTAGCAAGCAGTGGAATGACGAGGTACTCACTGTGGACTCCATCAGTGTCACGGCCATTCATTTCTTTCTGCCCTTATCGTGAAGGTTACTAGTGTTCTGAATGATATTACTACCTTCGGAATTGCTACAAGGGGTAAGGGGTGGGAACGAAGGGACAGCCTTCAATATGAACTTGCGGCCACTTCTCAAGCTCCCTGAAGAGCTTGCACCAAGCTCATGATTGTGGTTGTGAGGAGGAGAAACCCGTTTCTTATTGGGGGAACTAACTTTCACAGACCTAATAGGATTAGAACTGTCCTTCAGTATCTCAGGCGTTTCTTCTTGCAGAAAGTCATAAAGCCCATTGTCAAAGTCAAGACCCTGAGAAGATTTCGTCCCACCTAACCGAGCCATTGGGGTGACAGGTGAACTGCACCAATGAAGAGAACTACTAGATGACAGACCTTGACTTCCAGGACACAGCTGAGCTTGTGAAGCATTTTTCCAATCACTTCTTGATGATGTGGAAGAAGCAGAGGCCTTTGAGTAAAGATCTGATAATGGAGTAATATGGCATGTAGTGGGGGCAGCATCGTATCTTGTTGAAAATGTATGCGCTACTCCAATGTTGTCATAGTCCTCTCGCCAGTGGTAATAACCCATATTCGATAATTCTTTACTTGTCTCCAGAAGAATGCCACCTGTCTTTGAATTTCTCAGAGGGGATCTTGTTGATTTTTCATAAGATGATATGATGGTAAGATCAGATTCAGGTGATCGAAGGTAACTTGTAGGAAGGCACGGGGATTTTGGTATGTTATTTGCATGACTAGACAAAAAGAAAATAAACAATCAAAATTAATTAGAATCACATTATGATTTAGCGTTTCAGGATAATTGGGACTTCAAAAACAATGATTCTTACTCTGAGCAGTGAAATGATGGCGTCAATGGAGTGTGGTTGTGTGAATCATACAAATCAGTAGACAAAATATCTTTCTTTGTTGCCACCATTTCCAGCTTCTCATCAAATGTTTCCTTACCGGCTTTGTCACTGATCGTGTCTTTAATCACACCATGCTCTATTGGAACAAAATCTATAGAAAACAAGATTGAAGTGCAGTATTAAGACAAACAGAGTCTAACTGATCAACTTTTCTGGCAAACAAATACTTGTGTGTAGTTCCATATATCTTTCAGCAAAGCAACAATTCTTTCTAGTTTACTTTCACAAGCCCATTCTTTTAGGCATTATGCTTTAGATAAAAGTAAGTCCTAATGAATACACTAAAATTATGTAATATTCTATGATCCATTTGTTAGGTGATTTCTTAATTCTGTTTCTAGGCTGTCTATCAAGACCATTGATATGTGAAATCATGTTTCAACAAGTAGACAACACAACATAGTAGACTATACGGCATGAATACACTATTCTATAAATATGAAGGGAACATTCTTTGTTATCCATAGTAAAACAAGTACACTACGAATGTTATCACATGGAATTGGGAAACACTGTTTCTTGGTTTAGAGGCTTACCTCCCTTTCTGCCATAAACATTTTTACATCCATCACACCGGCATCCACTGGAGCATCCAACATTGGCCTTTGAGATGAAGCAATTCACAAATATAAGATGAACTGAAAAGAAAAGATAACAAACACTGTGGCATGGAAATATAGATCAGTATTCAAGACCTGATAGCATTCACAATATTTTTTCAGACACATTGACTTTTTGCAATTGCATCCCCTTTTGTGTCTTGCTGAGGCTGGTGTAAATTGAATTTCTTCTTCCTGTCACAAGCAAATACAATCGTTCAGTTTACAAGATTAAGGTATACCATCAGTAACCGAAAAGGGTTAGTACCACAATTTTGTTGGAAACTCACTAGCTGTACAATCTTGGGAGCAAATGCAAGTGGATTACGGGCTTCAATTTGTTGTCTCGTCTCAAGAACCGTATCTTCATAATCAGGTATATTAAAGCATCCTTGGCAAGCACAAGTTTCGGCACAATAGACTCCAGCAGCAAAACAATCGCAATAACTGCAAAGAAATGTATTAAAATGTGACAAACAAATATGCACTTATAATATTTAACAAAAAGTAGATCAACTTACAGTTTCAAGCACTTGGACTTCTTACAGTTGCACCGCTTGCACCCATCACTATCTTTAGAGCTTGGTGTTTTTTTCCTGGAGGGGTCATACACAAACACGTATTTGAACTGCAGATGGATATGATGAATGAATCTTACCACACTACATAAAAGACCATGCCTCTGACCTTTTCTTTTGTGAGCTAGATTGGTTCAACTCCATATAACTATCAACATTCTGAGAATCTAATTTGCTCTTCTCGGGTGGAGATCCATGACGCTCAAATTCCACAGTATCGGGAGACTGGGTGATGGAGGAGCTTGCGGCAATTGAATTCTCAGTTTCATCCCTAACATTCTCAGGTAAATGGTGGTTCACAACAGATGATGATTTCATAACTTGCACACCAATGTAGTGATCTGCTAATTTTATGGTTGTTGCACCACGAACAACAGGTGCAGCATTGACTATGCTATTTAGATGCAAGCCAATACCTGATGGTTTGGGAACAGTTAAAGGAGAGCTTCCACCATACCGAGGTGGCAATGAGGCTCCCATCTGTCTCTTGGAAGTTGCTGCATTAGGTACTTGCACAATCTCCAATTCTGCTGTGCTGGCAGGTGGTTCTGAATTGTTAACTTTCTCTACAGAAGAACTGTCTCCTTTTCCAGTGGCACAAGGAGGTGCCTCTTCAAACTGAAGGCAACGTCTATGCATGCCACCTTGGTCATTTTTGACCTACAATAATCTTGCGGTTATTATACAGAAAAATTAAATATATCCTAGCAGCATACAGTAACTAAAAACTCATATGAAATGGCATACCTTATTAGGAGCATGCAATATCATGTTTCCAATCATTCCCTTTGAGGTTCCACCAACCTTCTCCGTACAATCCTCATACACCTGACCAATCTGCAAACGTCCAGGAGGAGATGGAGGGTTATGATCACAATCATCCTGCTGTCTACCTCCGATACCCTGTAACTTAAAAGTTGGATCAATCGTAAGAACATGTGGAACAATCACATCCCTTGTAATCAAATGTCCTAGTCCTTTTCCTTATAATGTAAAGCCAAGAATCTGAAGTTACCTGATTATGAAAACCTAGGTGATACTCCCCATTGAAAGCATTATCGATGGATAAGCCGGATCCAACCTTTGGGCACTCAGAAGATGGCAACTCACCATCACTATGCACTTTATTTTTCACAGGTTTTGGATCAAATTGCTTTCCGTCAAGGTCCTCTTTAGCCTTCTCTGGTGGTGCCTCAGATTCAGATGCATTGATAGATTCTTTCAAACATGGATTGACTGATTGACAAGAATTCGTAGAGTCCATCTCCATGGGATCAGCTAAGTATTCATCGACACCCTCCGAGGAACTGTTGGTCTCACAGTCCTGAGTATCAGTAATCAATCCCATCTGCAGTTGGGTGATATGTTTCTTGGAATCAACTGGAACATCAACAAACTTTTTGGCTTCATCATGTGCTTTCGTTTTTCCTACACTGGATAATTGCGGGTGTTGAGGCCTGGTAAAAATAAAGAAACTGTCAAAGTGAGCAAACACGGAAACAACAAAGAGACTGCCCAAGAAAAAACAATTGGAACTAGAATTCAGTGTATACTGGACCTTTTCAGGAAACTTGTTTCCGGAGTGTATTTATGCGTGGTGACGTGAACACAAGAGGAGGAGAGCTAAGTCCCGGGAACCCTTGCACTGCATGTGAAGCCTTCACAGGCTGTATTGGTGATAAATTGCTTATGTAACTGAAGACTGGTGACTCCTGAATTAGAGGAAACATATATGAATAAAGATTCAATTTCCTACCAACATAGCCAATGCTCAATTCAGAAACAGAAATGACAAACTACTAACGCCTCGACTCAACGTTTGATCATCAATTACTCGCAGACAACAGATTGCATTGCACATTGAGAAAGACCCCAAAATCACAAATTCAACTTCTCCAACAAAACACCACTAAACCCTCAAATTCCAAATGTCCAAAACCCTAACTTTGACTACCCCTACAAAGCACCAATCCCACCAACCTCAACCCACAAAAATTAAACCAAAACCCACATCCACAAATCACCTATTTCACAAAAATAGACAATAATTTTACTACAAAAAATAACAACAAAAAGGAGGTATAAATAAAGGGTAAAGATCTACCTATAGATTAAAAAATTATCACAAATAAGGAAGTAAAAAAATCCCTAATCCAAAAACAGAAAGATTGAAATTTGGCAGTAAAAATAAATTTACTTGAACTGGAGGAGAATCTGAGGAAGGTGAAGTGTTGGCTTTGATTTTGGGAATTTCAGGTGAATCCATGGTGTGAACTCGGAAGCTTAATCGAAACCCTAACCCTACAATTCTCCGCCTGCATTTTTCCCACTTTACTAACCTCTGGTGAGAAAATGTGAAAGTCTGAGAGAAAATGTGAGTTTTTACATTTTTCTTTTAATTTATTTTCTCGCTTAAAAAGAAAAATAAAAGAGAGCGGGATTTTAAAAACCAAGCGGGAATTGTAATGTAATGTTGATTTGGGCTGGTCTTAATGGGCTTGGTTTTAAATAATGGGCCGGATCCAAGCACTAAATTTGATATTTTTGAAAATCTGTTGGATATGCGCCTACAACTTAGGGCTTGGACATTATCATTAGCAAATCTAATATCTTTCTATTAACGAGGTTCACTATATTTGCGTTGAGTTGATTAACCAAAGGGAAGCTCAACTTTGACCAGAATTTTGTTGATAAAATCTGGCCAGGATTTTTGATAAATGTAAGGAGACTCTTTTGAAAGTTGGACTCTGCATTGATGTGTCAGTTCATATTTTTTACATAATATTTTATAATATTAGTAGAAAAACTAATGTTAAACTGTGAGGTAGCAGCATCCAGAAAGAGTCCCATTTGAGAATCTTATCAGCATTCGTGAAAGAAAGTTTGATATTGTCAAAGTCAATACACCCACCTCTGCGGTCATCATCCATTCTTTATACCAAAGAAGAAAAAAAAGTAAACAATTTTTTATGTCGGAAAATAGAATATAGTAATGTTCTTATGTCAGAATTGCATATTTGGTTTTTTAATAGAAGGTTCATTATTCTCAAGTGATAGTAATGTTCATCATCTTATTTATCATTAGATGATCTCAAAACCTAAATTATGTAACGGTGATAAATAGAGTGATGAGCATTACTACCACTTGAAGGTGGCGAGCAAAAATGCACCCTTAATAAAATGGCGTTTTACTGCAGTGGTGAAAAACAACTATGCTTACGCACTTTATGCACTACGGTATGAGTTTTATACCTACCTATTCTCCTCCCCTAACAACTAAATGTTTAACCTACTAATATTATAACTTAAAAGTATATGCATTACTACTAGAACTATACTCTTTGAGTATTAATTTTATTATTTAGTTGTACAGGGATTAAAAGATAAGAATTTTCTTAATTTGGTGAAAGTTAAGAATTATTCAATGCCTAAAGTTTAAGATGACTTTGAAAACATGTAGTTGTCAGTTTGTCACCATGTGAAGCGAATTATGTGTTCGATTCTTTGGCATGCAATTCTGTTGGATTCTATGTACTCTTTAGCATTTTCATCTTAAGAAAAAAACTGTAATTTTTTGGGTCAACTGGTTTGTACAAAACTGTAAGCCGGTTCTGTGAGTAATTTATTGACCAATATACATATATACATAAATATATATATATATATATATATGTATTTCTATTTCAATCTGGCTCAGAATATAGACAACCCCAAACAGTTGACTAGTGAAAATTATGAGGCTTCAGCTAGCTAAGCGCCTAGCTGGGTTTTCATTGTTGGATAGATCATAGCTGGATCTTCATCTAGATCTCTCTACTATCACTAGTTTCAAATAATCCATGATCAGATCTGCACCTTAATCTCTGTAAATTAATGGCCATGTTTCTTCCTCTTACAATTTTCTTGATCTCTTTGTCTTCCTTCTCTTCATCTCCATCTCATGCAAAAGACACACTCACACCTGCAGACATGCTGACAGACAACAAAACCCTAGTCTCAGCCGGTGGAATTTTCGAGCTTGGCTTCTTCAACGAAACCATTTCGGGATATCACTACCTGGGAATTTGGTTCAAAGCTGATGCTACCAAGGTTGTCTGGGTTGGTAACCGCGATGTCGCCATATTGGATTCCTCCGGTGTGCTACAAATCCGGTCTGGGAATCTGCTTCTCTCTGACCGTCGACTAGTGCAAGTCATAGTCAACGCAGCAAATGTTGCCTCCTCCCCCAACACAACTGCAACGCTTCTCGACACTGGAAATTTTGTGCTTAAAGAAGCAGATACAGGCACGGTCTGAGATTTTGATAGTATATAATTTCTGTTTCTCCAATATTCCCCTTTTTAACATGTAGCCCTATTGGATACAACATCTGTTTTCATACCCCAACGGCCAACATATCTTTTTCTTTTTGTTGATCAACAGTTATTAGTACTTTTATATGTCAAAATTCCATATATAATATAATTCAGACATTTTTGTGTTTTCAGACCCTTGAGATTTATTTTCACATCGATATCTAATTCGTCGGATTTCTATAGGTACTGTTATATGGCAAAGTTTTGATGTACCAAGTGATACATATCTTCCTGGGATGGAACTAGGGTTGTTTGAACTAAACAAAACGCAGCCAAGCTATAACATCCTTGTTTCTTGGGCAAGCCCCCAAAACCCAGCTCGTGGTCTCTTCACTTTAACCATGGACCGGATCAACTTCACAAAGCTTACTGTTTGGAGAGGAGATGGACGCCAGATGGATATCGCGTTCTGGGATGGACAACACCTAAGGTTTATTTTTGACAACACAACTGAAAATAATGACTACACTTTTAGGTACCAAACCATTGATGAAGAGGCTGCCTACTACACCTTTAGCAACAATAAGAAGTACGACCTCATATGGTTTGTCATGTCTTCAACTGGAAATTTGGACCAGTTTTTTTTGGCAAACGGGAATATTTGGTCTGTGAGTCATAGTTTGTGTGAGGACTCAAGCGGGGGTAATACCGGAAAATGCTTGGCGACTTTACCATCTATGTGTGACCGTGGCGATGATTTTTCTGTGATGAATGGTTCGTTGCCATCTGCGTTTAATAATGGATCCATTTATATGGGTACTAGTGATTGTGAAACATTGTGCAAGAGCAATTGTTCTTGCACTGCATTTGTTGCGGCTCAAGATGGTCAACCAGTTTGTCAACTTTATTATCAGAGTAAGAAGGATATTTTGAAGGTTGTTGATGAGAAGGGCTCTGGGATTATTTACATTCGTGGTAGTACTTCTTCAAGTGGTAAGTAGAACTATTAATGTCTTAAATTTAATTAACTGACCAAACCAAAAATCCCTTCTATTTTGATTCGAGAGAGAGGGTGAGGGTTTTGACTCATTCCTTGTTTCGAAAAGAGAAAGTGATTTCCTCACACATATTTTCTTTCTTGACATAGTCGTATTTAGTTTTGCCCTTCTAAATTGAATAATTAAATAAAAATGTAGGAATAGGAACAAAATAAGGAAGGAAAACTAATAAAAATGACTTAAAAACTTTGAGTTTTAATGATAATGATAAAATAAATAGTAAAGTGAATAATACCATGGATTGACTTTTAAGTGTAAAAATATGATTTTTCGCTAAAATGAACAGTACTGGAAACTTTTCGTTAAAGTTCCCAAATAAGGGTGTGCAAGATACAATCAAAAGTTTGGTTTTTTTATTATATGATTTGTCATGTTATATTATTAGATCATCCCGGATTAATTATTCACATTAGTATAATAATAACAAGACAACTAGTTTAACTACAACAGAACATTCCTATACATAGTATATACTAGTTTGCAATAATTAATAAGGTAACATCAACAAAAATACATTAGTATATACTTGGATTAATGGTGACAACCAAATAGCGAATTTATATTCTTATCTCGGTGCATTGTTTAATCAACATGTAGTTTGTATTCAGAAACGTATTAGGTATTTTGGAATTCTTTAGTTTTCTTGTTTGACCTTATGGAATTAAGCAATGTATTTTAATGAAAAAATAAATATGCGAGACGACTATATACATATCCATCATAATTACAATAACTTATAATACTAATCTGAAACGATATTCGCATTCAATAGCATATAGCTACAGTTAAAGGTTGTAACTTGCATGTAATAATAGGAGTTTTAATGAAACATTCTTGGTACAATTTACTTTTAACGAAAAACCACATTTTTATCCTTCCTTAGTACTATTCACTACACTTTATTTGTCATTTTTCATTAAAACTAAAAAAATTTTGAACTTTTCGTTAGTTTTCCTTATAATTATACACCTTCAAATAAAAATTTGAATATAATAACATACACATCACACGATTCCAGTATTATAACAGAGTTTGGAGATAAATTATGTCCTGCAAAATAGAATCTATTGGAGAGATCTCAAACTCAGTCAAGAAGACTTATTGTTTACAAAAGGTTTAGGAGATTAGTTGGCTAAGATAGTATGTCAACCCGCTTATACTCAAATTCAAATCTCCCTCTTTGTAGATGGTGAGATTTACACAAATTTTTTAATTCCTTCAATTTTTTTACTTTTGTTAGTGTTAATTAATTAACACTTACTAGCAAAATGTTGGCATTGTCTTTCACTTTTCAGATGGTAAAAATTTGAAATTCTGGCTGGCTATTGCACTTCCTTTGGCTTTCCTCTTGATTCTTATGCCAATATCGTTATGCTGCTATCTGCATTATGGAAAGAGACTTCAAGGTTTGATCAGTTCATGTGATTGTAATTAGCAAGGTTGCATTGCTCAATGTCCGTAATGATTGACACTATTTTCCTACTTAATGTAAGCAGGAGATGAAGCAAGCAGACAACAAGAGATTATCAATTCGGATCAAGTGAGATTATTCCAAATTGGTTCCACCGACGTGTCACCAATTCAATATAACGGAGCTAAAATTGTGAATATAATGGAATTAGGCAGGCAAAAGGATCAAGAATTGCCCTTGTTTAGTTTTTCTTCTATACAAACTGCGACCAATGACTTTGCCAAGGCTAATAAACTGGGGGAAGGTGGATATGGCCCTGTTTATAAGGCAAGCCGTCAGTTAAACTTAATTCACAGCTTTACATAGCTAATCACAATTTTATTCGTCTTTGTCAAGATTAATTTTTTGAAACCTTCAACGTGCTTGGTTTTTTATGTAATGAAAATTACCCATTGCAGGGTTTGCTAATGGATGGGAGGGAAATTGCAGTAAAAAGGTTGTCCGAAATTTCGAGGCAAGGGTTGGAGGAGTTCAAAAACGAAGTGTTAGTTATTTGTAAGCTTCAGCACAGGAATTTGGTTAGGCTTTTGGGATGCTGCATTGAAGGAGAAGAAAGTATACTAATTTATGAGTATATGCCCAACAAAAGCCTGGATTCTTTCATTTTTGGTTTGTGCAGTTTGATCTTTTAGCTATTTACACGTTCTACATATGTTTAATGTTGGTGTTATAATTTCCTATTTTCTCATTGATTTTGTTCGATTGAGTGCAGATTCAACCAAACGGAAGCTTTTGGATTGGAGAAAGCGCATGAACATTATTGAAGGGATTGCTCAAGGCATCCTATATCTTCACAAATACTCAAGATTAAGGATCATTCACCGCGATTTAAAGACGAGCAATATTCTCTTGGATAGTGGCATGAACCCTAAAATATCGGATTTTGGCATGGCGAGAATTTTCGCAGACAGTGACACTAAAGGAAAAACAAGCCGGGTTGTTGGTACATTGTAAGTTAAAAGGCTTTGCAGCATGTTATTTTCCGAGAATTAACATAATGCTCATACACCAATATTGGTCTTGATATATATGGTCTCTGTACCTTTTTCTTTAATTAATTCAGTTCCTGATGCATTTAACCTCTGATTTTAGTGGTTATATGTCTCCCGAGTATGCCATGGGTGGCCTTTTTTCCAAAAAGTCAGATGTGTTTAGCTTTGGAGTGATCTTATTAGAGATCATAAGTGGCAAGAAGAACATTGCCTTCTTTGAGGCTGATGATCCACTAAACTTACTAGGCAATGTAAGCAAATTCTACAACTGTGGCAATGTGTGTACTAATTTTTTTTTTTTTTTAATTATGATTTTTGAAATTGGGGTGTTTAATTTTAGGCCTGGAGTTTGTGGAAAGAAGGCAAGAGCAATGAATTGATGGATTCGACATTGTCTGGTTCTTGTTCGAGTAATGAAGGTACCAGATGCATTCAGGTGGGTCTTTTGTGTGTGCAAGAAAGAGCTATGGATCGACCAAATATGTCGGATGTTGTTTTGATGCTAAGCAATGAAACATTTGCTCTGCCTCTTCCTAAAAAAGAACCTGCATCTTGGAGTCAGCTAAGTTCCACTGATGTAGATTCATCTTCAAGTAGGCAAAGACATCAATCTACAATAGATGTGACGACTTCAACAATACATGCTAGCTAGGTAGCAAAGGCTGCTGTTTGGTGTAGAGTTTAGTTCACTTGTATTAATGTTGTAATATATCATATACAATTATGTTTATCTAACAGCCCGCCATGTTCGGGTGCCCACCGGTATACAAATCCAATTGAGTGGAGACTGCATCTTTGCAGTCCAAAAATAAATTTATTTGACTGCTTTTTGTGAAGATTTTAGATAGACCGCACAACGACTCTCTACTACCATATCGGTATTATCTTATTGTACAACTTGTACAGCATGCATCAATGCATGTGTGAGGGTTTAATCATAGTGCCATTAGAAGTGGAACATTCGCTAGATTGACATGTACATCTTATCACCTGCATAGTAGCGCATGTGTGAAATTTTGTCACAAAAATTTCTATGTCATTTTGAAGTGGAATCATTTAATATTATGTAAAAAAAATCACTTTCAGATCATTGTAGGTATAGATCATAGCTTTATCACAAAAGGTTTTGATGTCATTAAAAGTGTAATCATTTATCTATACTATTATTAGGAAAACCTTCTTTGTCAACCAAAAAATGTAAAATTTCCTTTATACCCTTATCAGTCTTAATAAATTGAATAATTAACATAAACAGTAAGGATAATATAGTAATTATACCAACTAATCTATCAAATTTCTCTTCTCACTCCCTACTTTTTCTCCTTCCATCTACTTTTAATCTTATTATATATATTCCTTATATTTACACAACATTTGCATGTCGACTCCATCTAGTTATAATATATATATATATACTAGAATTTGCCTACACATTTTGTGTGTATGAACATATTTTTTTAGAAAATGAGAAGTTGAAAGGGAGAGGGGGAGAGAGAACGTGGTGGGGGGGGGGGGGGAGTGAGAGGTTTTTGTTTTTGTTTTTAATATTGGGGGAATTTTAACATCACCTGTAGGCAAAGCTTAAAACAGTAAAATTTGGACATGTGAAATTACATTATTACCCATCATTTTTTTGTGTGATAGAAGACTAAGTAATATTTTCATCCTCTTTTGGTTGACAAAGAGGGTTTCATTAATTAATAGATATATATATTTCCTTATATTTACACAATGTTGTGTGTCGACTCCATCTAGTTATATGTATTGTAATTTTTTTTTTTTTGTCCATTTTCCAATTTGAGATTCTCGTATTCTTCAACACCATCTCCTACGTGAGACCACTGCATAGTTGCACACATATGCTACTTATTCTACATAGGTCATTTAAGTGCAAAAGTAAGACAAGGTAGTAAATTCCATAGTTTCGGCAAGTCAAAGTACATACTCAATTTGGATGTAGTCAATTAACATGCTTTGATATCATATTTATCAAGATTTCAGAGAAACATAATGTAATTTTTCAAGATGGAATCAAGATTACAAACATTCATAAAAGTAAAATTTAGGCCGATGGCCAAGCTATGTAACTTGAAATCTAAATTAACTAGAAATGTAAAGAAAGCAGTAAAACTCTAGCAATGTTAAGGTCATGAAGGGCAAAATAATGCTACAAATGTCCATCGAGATCACTGAAGTTGGATTGAACTTAGTATAAAACATGTGCCATGGAGAGGAAATTAGGGTGGTTGAAATTGTACATCAACCGAATTATACTACGGGCTAGCAAACTGTAAAAAAAAATTATCTCAGGGATCATAGGCAGTTTTTGCTCCAAAGGAGACTTTGAGATTGTAGAAAGAGTAAGAAGATTTTGCTGAAGAGCAATTGAGTTTGTGTTGGAAAGCAGTTTAAGAATCACTCAAGATTTTGTTTAATCGTAGAAATTCAATTTCACAATAAAAGCTAGGTATAGCTCCTATATATGGCTGGTGTCTTCATCTAGACCTCTAAGTTCTAAGCTTCAATTTATGCATTATCTTTGCACCAGTTGTAGGTGACAAAAAAGAGATAATTTACGTAGCTTTGTGAGTTTACTGTCCCTCCTTTTTTTTGTTTTTTGTATTTGTTTTTCTTGAGAGGTAAGGTTTATATAGCCACTTGACTAGGTGTACCTTCTTGTCAAAAACGAATCCCATATTGATGAGAGGAGGGATCCTGCATGGTTATAAGTAAATTTGGCTATACTCTCCATATTACCAATCGGTTTTATAGTGTAACCTCAACTTTCTTCACTTTTTACATTATATTTCAATAAATTTCACTCTCACACCTTGAGGTGTAGCTTGTTGAGTGTTAACTCCTTTGATTGTTAGTACGTGTTATGTGTTTTTAGAGTATGCCATGAATGGCCTCTTTTCTGAAAAACATGATCTGTTCATTTTTGCAGTGATCTCATTAGAGATAATAAGTGGCAAGAAGAATACAGCCTTCTTTGTGGCAGATCATTCTCTAAACTTACTTGGCAGAGTAAGCTACTTTAATAAACCCCTCAACTCCATCTATATTTCCAATTACTTTCTATATATGTCAAGGTATTTGTTGCTAATTAATTAGATGTGTGAAATTGATTGTTTTAGGCTTGGAGTTTTTGGAAAGAAGGCAAGAGCATAGAATTGATGGATCCAACACTGATTGCTTCTTGTTCAATTAGTGAAGTCATGAGAGAAATTTTGATGGGACTTTTGTGCGTGCAAGAAAGAGCCGTGGATCAACCAAGCATGTCCGATGTTGTTTTAATGCTAAGCATGAAACAATTGCTCTTCCTTTTCCTAGAGAACCGGCATTGATGCAATTTCATCTTCAACCAGGCAACGACACAAGGCTAGAAATTTCAGAAGTAGACGGTAGCTAGGTAGCAATACTAGCAAATTCTAAGTATAGTTGTTCATAACCAAAGTTCATTTACAACTGTCACTTTTGCGTGTTTTCTATCTTCGAGTTTATTTACCCTTAAGCAAAAGAAAATGCACATTCTTTTTTCTGGTGGGTTGAAATTCACCATGCAACATTCACATTTGAAAAAATTTATTGTGGAGAGGCAAATCCAAAGAAAAAATCCAACACTGGTTGCTTCTTTTCAAACATATTGTTAGAGAGGCAAATTTTACGACAGATGTGTTGACTTCTCTTGATCACTCCCTACAATTACAATTTTTTCTTGTTTGGGACGCTGACTTCTCTTTCAACCTTCAATTTTTTGTTGTTTAGGTTTCAGTTGTGCTCGGAGTTTTGTATTGTAATTTCCTTTTTCTTAACGGAAAATACAAAAAAACTAGCACCATTAAAACATCCTTGCCAATTCAAGAAGAAATTAACTTGGTAATACTTGGACTAAGGTTACTAAGGTTTTTCGAGAGCCTGTTAGCTTGGGTTAGAGTTTACATAAGAATTGATCAGTCGTGAATTTGCAGTTTGGCAACACAGTTCCACTACAGTCCGTTGAATACTGAATTCATGATCATATTCTCCACTCTCAATGATATCTCCCACATTCCTATGATTAGTCTATCTGGTTTGGAAAATAGGACCAGAATAAAGAGGAATTTTTTGGTAGAAAATTTGAGGGATTTTGTATTTTGTTGTGTAACTAAATGCCCAAAGGCTTCTCTGTAGCAAAAGATGAAAGATATATGCAGATGGGCAAGGGTGGAAAACCGTGCAAAAGAAAGATGAAAGAGATGGACATTTAGGGGAGTCTACGAGCATAATGTAAAAGATTTTGGAGGACGAAAAAGTTAAAGAAAAGAGGTAACTTTTATCATTGTGTGAGAATGTCACACTCATCTCTACCACCTCACGTGCATGCAACCAAACACGCATTACGTAGACATATAAGATAAAAACAAATAAATATATTTCGTGGTATTATCGCTGTTATTTGAAGATAATGAATACTATGAGCAAGGTATAATCTGTAATGTACATGAATCACTGTATGTTTGCATGTAGTTCGGTAATTCCCAATTTCTCCCGTTTTAGTTGCATGCATGCCATATGTTAAATTTTGTACATCAATTCGGTTAATTAGAAGGTTCGAAAATCTTATGTTAAACAAGATAAGTTCGTCAAGAAGAAAACTTATGCTGATGGTCCGTGCCAATTTCAATACAAAATTCCACCAGTGTCAATGGCAATGCAAAACTTCATTTGTCAATGCTAGTGCAACATTCTAATGTTAGTGTCAATATCAATGCAAGATTTGAATCGTAATATCAATGACAATGCAAAATTTCAATGTTAATACCACTGCCAATGCAAACTTCCAAACAAACAGACAAACTGCTAATGCCTACTTCAAACAAACTTATCGCAATTAAAGGTGACATGGAGCATAAATAGCCATTATTTGTCCCAAACCAAACGCCAACTTCCGTTTTGCGGTCAACAACCATCCTCGACCGGCATGAGCTTCTACTGTTTGTCCAACCAATTTTTGTTTTCTCCTTTAACAACTACTGCTCGAGAACTCCGTCACAGAAGAGTAACGACGAAGGCAATTAAGAAAACAATAATTCATAATTTCAGCAAAAGAACACTAACATAAAAAGTATACCAACCAACCCGTAAAATAAAATAAAATAAAATAAAATAAAAATAATAATAAAAATAAAAAATAAAAAATAAAACACCTAAGAAAACAAAGTAAATTAAAATCTGACAAAAATAACCACAAGAAAACTAACAACTATCGAACAAAATGAGAAGTGGAAGGGATGATGAGCGATACCAAACAATTGCAAGAGCAGAATGAACCCAAAGAGGATCGAGATTGAGCTCGCTCTAATACCATAATAACAAATCAAAGAACTAGAAAAAAAAAAAAAAAAAAGAGAAATTAGGTTCCTATCCCTCTTTTTTCAACTCCATTGATTGAAACCTTATTTCTTTTCAATTTTTAATCAATGTCCCTTGGTTTTAATAAACATCATTAATTATTTCAATAATAAAATATTTTACATATCAAGATAATTAAATTTTATTTCTAAATTATTCATTTAGTGTAAGAAACGTTACATTTGATATATTTATATTTATGTGCTAAATTTTGTATCATATATTTTTATTTTTAGTTTGTACCTATTTTAATTTGCAACTTTTTCTTCTAAATTGTGCCAATTTTCTATTCAGTTTTAGTTTGTACCCATATATTAATTTCTTTTTGTGTCCATATTTTCCAAACTTTTATTTTTACTCATATTTTTTTTGACCTTTTATTTGTAATTGTACCCATAATTTAGTAATAATGTACCCATTTGTCTTTAAAAATGTACCACTTTGTTCTATGTAAAATGTACCCATTTTTTTTTAAGTACCATCTCTTTTGTGTAAAATGTACCCATTGTTTTTTTATTTTATTTTTTAATATGAAATGTACCCATTATATAAAATGTATCACCTTTTTTTTTTTTTTTTGTATAAAATGATCCAACTTTTGGTAAGTAAAATGTATTGTATAAAAATTACCAATTTTTTGTATGTAAAACGTCATTAATATAAGTAATGAAAAAACATGAGTTTTATTTAAGTATAATTTTTTTAATATTTTCAACAAATTACGGATTTTATTTAAAATCTCACCAATATAAATAACTACAAATATGAAATTTTAATTTAAAAATTATAATAACCTACATAGAAATGCATTATTGCATTCATTTCAGGGACTTCAATCAAAAATCGAAACCCAACAAGGTTTTAATCAAAGAACGTTGATAAATAGGGACCGCATCCAAAGTCATCCAAAAAAAAAATTGGAAACTCTGAATCTTATTGTATGGACAAAAATAAAATGAAGAACACTACAAAATTGCCAAGATGACTATATATCCTTAAAAAACTACATCTTGCAAGATTTAATTCCTACAAAGTTACAAGAAGTGTACGTATTTATGGAGACTTAATTCTAAACCAAAAAAGAGAAACCAATCACAATCCTTATTATATTAGAAAATATAATGCCTAAAATATCAATTCACCTTAACATAATAATAATATACCAAAATTGCTAACTTTTCTAACAGTTAGAAAATCTCTCATTTTGGCAATTATGGTGCATGATGCTAAGCCAATCCAGTGCGAGTCGAATCCAAAATTTGCCGACTTATTTAACCACAAATTACGTAAATGAGGAAATCGCGTATACCAGTCATTTGAAAAAAAAATGTATAATACAACTTCACTTTTGTGCTTTTATATTTTCTTTGACTACAATTGAGTTATAATCTTTCCTATTCTTTTGTTTTGGTGATAAAATATTTAAATAAACACAAGCACAGAAATATAGCTCGCATAATCCTCTAATCTTTATATATAAAAAGAAATTTTTAGCTTGCATGCATGTGAAAGTTAGAAACTGGTCCAAAGTTATGGTTGCACCTATCACTTTTTTCTCCATTGGCAGATAAGGGAAGAAGACAAAACTCAAAATGTATGAACTACTTGGACACAAACATCTTAACATGGCTTTAATCAGAATTGTTTACATTTTATTTAATTTAAAAGATTAAAAAGAGAAAGCGAAAAGAAATATACGTTTGGGTGTATTGCATTGGGCTGGGCTTGGTCATGGTCATGCATGGAAGCATTTCCCAATGAGAGAATCGAATCAGTCCCCTCCTCCTTTCTTTTTGCTTTTTCACAGTTTGCTACAGCCTTCTTTACCATTCCCCAAGAAAAATGCCATGGTGAGTAATCTTGAATACTAATTCCATTTTATTTTTATTTCAATCCCCTTAATTATTCAAAGATTCAAAACGAAGATTGTGAGAGGAAAAGGAAAAAATGACAGTGAAAAAGCCATGCATATCAGTACTACTAGTGAGAAAAGAAAAAGAAAAGGATTAAAAGATGGTCAAAATTTGAACCTCGAAGACTCCTCTTCCATCATCATCCATCAGCTTCCATTCGTCTATCTTTATCGAAACTCTTACCAATTAATTTCTCCTTTCTTTCTTTCTTTCTTTGATTTTGATCCTCCACTACTCCACGTTCTCTCAATTATATATTAAAATTTGGACGTTCATCGTTTGAAGCTCCTTAGCCATGCAACAGCTTTTATGTTTGGCTTCGGTTATGTGCCTAGCTATGTCTGGGGCAATGGTGACATATCTTCTCTAATTTAGCGAAGCAGCTGACATGCACGAGTGTGATCATATTTTATGCATAAGAAGATTAGATCTAGTGATGAGTGAGGGTGATTCATGCGATTCATGGATATAATATCCTGACTTATGGAATATAATATTTTTTTTTATACAATTTTATTTTGATACTTTAAAAATGGAATATTATTAAGTGGAAGCCATGCAGATTTTATTTTGAAATATCCCAGACGGCATAATGGTTAACAATTAGCTTATAACCCCATCATCTCACTAGCCTAGCTTATATATTTAGAGTTTGCCACGATTTGATGTCCATCACATGATCGTAATGAAGTAGTGGTCTTTAAGTAGATGCTACGTACACTAGCCCTAAGACATTGAGTTCTAACCAGAAAAGTAAATACTTGAACTTGAGAGGCTTCTGACCTTTTGTAGGTGAGTACTCCAAAAATACAAGACAAAATAATGTCTAGGAAATTCAGCTTAGGTCACATACCTAAATTTACTCTTCCAAATTGAAAATGACTTAATCCTAAAATATATAAATAAAAAATTGGCCTCAAGTGAAATATCCCTTTAATCTTTGGGAGTAGGCCGTTGGGAGAAGAGAAAATATGGTAGTGTACTCTTTTGACATGGAGGAATAAAATTTGGTTTTTAAGTACAACGAAAGAATATTCAGAAAATATTGAAAAGCAACAACCATTTTTCCTTGTATAGTGACACCCAATTAGCATGATGGGGTGTTCTTAATTACATATATAAAAGCAGACTTGACCACTCCTTAGTTATGAATTGTGAGATAAGAATAAGAGTAGTGGGGTCGTTTCTCGCCCTAAGGTTTTTCGACGTGTGAGGAATATTCATTTTCTCTGGCAAGAATACAATGAATTTTGTTCTTGCTTATCCAATCCTGACTCAACAAGATTGTTGGCTTTGTTTGCTAATGAAGGTCCTAAATATATGAACTATATGGTCAAAAGAATTTTTTGTGGTTCATACAATAATTTTATGATATTGGCTGCACGGCTATGCTGTGTTTAGAGCTTACAATGCATACTATTTGCTTTTTGTGGGGACGTGACCTCTAGATATATATATATATATATATATATGGTACAGCTAACTTAACAAAGTCAAATCAACATGTTTTTCCTTGCTCAATATGCTTTATAATTACGTAACATTACAATTATACTTAAGTTTTTATAATATGTATGCATAGATCTATGGCCTCTGAATGATTTAATTTAGTTGGTAGATGTAAACATACAATAATGATGGAGTTTTACTCTTAAGTCTCATCTCAATTCTCTAGACTTTGCATCTTATAGTTCCGTCGACAGATTTAATATACCGAATCACCGCTCATCATTCCGGATTCACTAAACGGGTTAGTTATCCTTTGATTATATATTTTAATAGGGGTGGACAAATATATTATCATAGTAAATAATAAAGTGACATTTAAGCAGTAATCAATCTGATAGCTTATAGAGATTCATCATATCTCATATTGGTTTGCTAATTGACACTAAAACTATGTTGTTTATGGGCATGTTTGAAATGTGTTTCTCGCAATGTTTGGCAGAAAAAAAGTTAAAAATGCTTATGTGTTGCAAGAAACACCTATTATATGCTTCCTAAGAACTCGTTTGGAAAGCCTTTTTGAATGACTGAAAGTGTTTTTAGAGAAAATGTTTCTAAAATCAATCGCTAGTAAAAATACAAGTTAATCCAGGAAAAACACTTGAAGTCCTTCTTGCAAGAAGCACATAACTGATATTTCTAGCATGAAGCACTTTAAGAGTGCTCCCAATAATATTTTTTTTAAAAGCGTTTTCATTCATTTAAAAACATTTCCTAAACAAGAACAAGTTGTTTCAAGAAATACCTGCATTTTAATAAAAAAAAAATTGTGTTTCCAAACAGAACCTATAGCTATGGGAATACAAAATGATTGGACAAAGAAGGGCAATTATGGAACTAACCAAAGAAATTTATAATGGATATGTTCCTGCGTTTGCAACCTCTAGCAAATAGAAACCCTAAAAAAACAGTAGTTAAAGCTTTGTCATCAAATTTAAAATTTTCTCTCTTTAGTATATTTAGAATCCCATTTCAATTTCTCTTTATCTCTTTTTTCTAATTTTAGTTTATTTTGTGTTATATTCCATTGTTCAAGGAAGGCAAAGTGATGAAGAGAATATCAAAAAAGAAAAACCACGTACCTAAACCTCTACTGGGTGCAATCCACCACTCGCTTCTCGAGGCCCTTAAGCAATATAAAAACCTCCCCAACCCCATCACTTTAATCACCAAATTCCTCCATCACTAGTCTCATCTTCTTCAGGCATTTCTATTCAACTTTGTTTTCTTAAGGTGAGGCATTTTTCAAATTTCAAGTTTACTCCTGGGCATTTGTAGGTTAGGTTACCGTGCCTATCATTTTGATAAATGATATTTTTAAGGAACCTGCTCGACACAATGATTATATTTTATTGATATGAAAAATTGATACATGAAGTATTTCAGTTAACTAATACATTATTGTTTTGATCATGTCTGAAATCTAGAAGATCAAATAGAGAAAGATGAGCAGGCCGGGAGATTGGAACTGTAGGTCATGCCACCATCTCAACTTCCAAAGGAGGGACTCGTGCCAGAGGTGTGGGGAGGCAAAAAGTGGGGAGAGAGTTGAGTATGGAAGTTTTGGTGGTGGAAGAGGTGGAGGTGGCGGTGGTTCGTTTGGATTCACCACTGGTCCAGATGTCCGCCCCGGCGACTGGTACTGCACCATTGGCAACTGTGGAGCTCACAACTTTGCCAGCCGCTCCAGTTGCTTCAAGTGTGGTGCGTCTAAGGACGAATTGTCAAGTGGCGGGGGCGGTGGTTTTGAGGGTGACATGCCTAGGTCACTGAGAGGGTTTGGCTTTGGCAGCAGTGGAAGTAGCTCTGGTCGCTCCGGATGGAAATCTGGAGACTGGATTTGCACAAGGTAAATTTGCAAATTTTGTCGTTTTATTTTACTGATCAAAATCGCTCACAAAATACTGTTGGCTGAAAAGTTGGGTATTGGCCCAACAGTTGCATCTGTTCGAGTGAAGCATTGCAGCTATTAGGTTCAATAATATATAATAACATGTACGTGTAGCAATATTACGCCCATATATTTTATCATGTTTGTGTATGTACCACCACTTTACCATGTCATGAAAATAATGGTAATTGTTCAATTAAATGACACAGGTCAGGGTGCAATGAGCACAACTTCGCTAGCAGAACGGAATGTTTCAGATGTAATGCTCCAAGGGACTCCAACGATGACAAGTCTCCATTTTAATTCCTCCCAGAATTTTCATGCTTTACGGTGAGTATATATGCACATACCTAAATGTATATGTTATCTTTTAAGTAAAATAGATGACTAAGCAATATTAGCTTGTATATGTTAGTTTTTAAGTAAATTAAATGACTAAGTGATATTAGCTCCTTGAAGTTGAATACCGCAAGACACAGAGCGTTCCTCCTCGAACCCGAAAGCAAATCATTCTGCACTCTGTTGGGAGCTATTAATAACTTTTTTTAATAACTTTTTTAACCAATATATAAATGTGTGATTCTCATCTTGTTCAGGTACTGCTGTACTTTGCTGAAGGAACTGAGAGAAGAAACATGATTCCCATATGATGACTTGAACTACCTAGCTAGCCCCTATTGTGTGCCAGATGATCACCCTCTATATTTTTTTCCTCTTTCAATTCCCTTTTCCTTCCCCCACATTTCTTTCCATTGTCTGGATATTTCTCCTTGTTAGGGAGCTTAAGTTGAATTATGATGTACCTTAACTAAGCTAAATCATTTGGCATTTTATGAGTTTTCTTGTGATATGATACGCATGTAGTACTATTAATCTAATTAATTGTCTCTTGTTATCTTGGATGACTGAAGTATCACTGCTCGAGATGTTTTTTGGTGTGATCGGGAACATGAGATAGTATATCACATGTTAGAAATACTTGTGTTAAAAAATTAGCAACTTAAAAAAATAAAATTTCCTTTTACTTATACAATAACATGTAGTGTACTACAACCTGTACCGTAAAACATTTCTCTCTCTACTCGCTGCAAGTATTTGATTGATTAATTACTTTCTGATACTGATTTACACAGAGAGAGAGAGAGAGAGAGAGAGAGAGAGAGAGAGGATATATATGCAGATTGAAGGAAGATGCTCCATCCCGAGTATCAAGAATGCTTTTATCTTAAGAGTGGTCCAAGGAATATTTGAGAACTTAAAGAATTGTAAACGAGTATCCAGAACATGCATACATATATCTGCAAAGGCAAGCAAATAAATATAATCAAAGGACCCAAAAAAAAAAAAAAAGAAAGAAAGAAAGAAAGAAAGAAAGCAAGCAAATATATATGTACCAAAGGAACTGTTCACATCATGCATGGACGGATGGACCATAAATAATCATATCTTTTGGTGAAACCAACACTCCGACGCGAGTGATTCCATATCTTCTATAGAAACCCCAATTAAGGGATTATTAGGGGTGCAAGTTGAACGCATCATTTTGTGCCACACGTGTATAGAAACCCTAAATTAAGGAGTATTAGTTGAAAGCGTCATTCAAACTCCATTTCTTTCTTTTATCTAAAATCATCGTGCATGCGTGTTTTGATACACTACAAGAAACATGAGCAACAATTACCGTAGTTATTTGGTTGCTATTGCTGGATTAAAAATGATGTACCAATGAAAAAATGGTGACAAGGGTTAAAATATATATAGTGTAATACATTAATCACCATTATGGTGTAGTCATCGATGAAAGTTGAATGCATCATTTTGTGCCCAACACATACATATATATAGAAACCCTAATTAAGGAGTTATTAAGTTTTGGGATCACTTACTGCAAATTAAGGTGAAAGTTAAAGGAATAATTCTATATTTTTACTCCACATGTAGCTGCTTGATTAATCAGTCCGAACTCTTAATTGCCACTCATAAAGTTCATATATAGGGTCCTGGTGAACCAGTGAACTCCGGTTTCAGGGTTGCCTCTTAAAGGACTCATGTAACAAAACAAGCAAGGACTTGGCCATCTTCAATTTAATCATTAAGTACGTGCGTGACTCAATAACATTTAGTACTTTTGCAGTTAGCATTTTATATTGTACCATGAGATTAAACTAATGCAAGATAACAGGGTAATTTTATTTTGTTAGCTTGATATACATTTGAGACATAGTAATTGTTTAACACGGTATTAGAATCAAAGTCTAGTTCTAGAATTTAGGGTTCGAAACCCCCAATCGGCCCATACATATATATTTTATGTTACGTAAGTTTCCATGCATATATTTATCGCTCCTTCGAGGAAAGATGTTAGCTTGATATTCATTGTCAACTCATTCTCTAAAAACCATTTGAATTTTGAAACATAATTATGAGGTAGCGGGTGGTGTTAGAGTGACCACATCTTTTAAAACCATATTTTGTATAGTATACCATACGGTGTGGCGGTAGATGATTGTATTCCTTCTTTAAATCATTAAATTAATGAATCCAATCGTCAACTAAAACATCATGTGGTTTACATAAGATTTAAAACAATGATCCCTTTAGCATTTTCCTTAGCAATAAAAAAAAAATAATACAGGAGCTTCTAGTTTCAGCGACAAACCATATTTACAGTCAAATTTTAATTGTGAGCATTATAATGCTAATAACCCAGTTGAGATATATTCTATGATGGCCATGTTTGGTCCTTGCAATCATTTTGGGTGAGTTTGAGAAATCTGTGTGATGAAATAAAAGATGACCAGTAGTTAGTCCGCTGAGTTCATAACAAAATATCAATATAATGAAATAATCATTCGGTTCTTTGATTAACGGGTGGGGTTAACTTTGACAATATCTAATGAACTTCCAAAACAAAGACGTATCTAAATCAACATATCTCTATATTTTAGTTTAAAGCATATATAACTCACATAGGATTCCAAAACTTTTTAGCAAACACCTTTCATGGGTTCCTTCATTGACCTCATGGGAGAAGTGCAAAAAATGCAAATTTTATTGGTCAAAAAGTAACCACACATTGATTAATGTCTGCTACTACACTCCATGATTTAGCTTTTAGCAAGATTCTTTGTTTCACTTTAAGATCAGCTTTATGTTACTTCATATATATGCTTTGTTGATTTTAGTGAACTAGTCATGAAGTACCTCCTTGCATGCATATTCAATCATATCAACTACGCGGTCCATATTGCTTATTGAGGCTTTCCTGCATGCCATTCTCAGTAAGTATGTTCAATCATAGTTTTGGGTACTTTGTCTTATTATATATGTATATATGTATTGTATACAATATATTTTATCACGAATCGTATGACATACATGAATTTTAACAAAAATTAGAAAATACACGAATTAATATATAGAAGAGATGACCAACTATAATATATTGAAGTACTTAACAAAATCACCCATTAAATGTCATATAAGGTTGTTGAATATCATTACAATATATTTGATCGCTAGTAAGTGATTATACTAAGTCCATAAATGTATTGTGACCAAATCCAATAAATGAAAGTATTTTTTGCATGTATTCAACCCGGCATGTATCTTTCTTTTTTTATTTCAAAAGAGTCACAGTTATTTATGTCCATCTTTTTCATGTATTTTTGTATTTTAAGTTCTTTTTAATTGGAGAGATAAGATTTATGTTCTCATTAACTGTGTGCAATTTTTTTTTATGGGGCAATTAGATCCAGTCATCCCGGTCCGATCCAAAAATTCAAGTTGTTTCTTAAATTGAGTCTGATTCTTGTGCATACCTATATAATAAGCAGACTACAAAATTGTTCAAGTGAAATATATTTAATAATTGAATACAACTAATTATGAAATGGTAGATTACAAGTAAAAAATATGGGTAAATTACATAGTACCTCCTCAGGTTTGAGGTCTATTACAACCTCATACAACATCTTTAAAACATTTCACTTTCATACCTCACATACTATTTTATTTCAAAATAATACCTCCGTTAGATTTTCCATCCATTGTTCCGCTAAGAGCTGACGTGGTTACCACATTTGTGCCACATGGCAAAAAAATAAAATTTTTATGCATTTAAAAAAAATTAATTAAAGAAAAGTACCAAAAAAAATATATATATATATGTCCCAGAAACCCACCCCTTCCCCTTCCCCGCAACCCAAACCCCTCCATCCCACCTCCCCCGCAACCCCCCACCCCACCTAGATTACCCAAATTTGTTCTAAAACAGATTACCCAGCTTTCCCATCAATTTTCCCTCGTTTTCTTGGCAACCAAACTAATAACTCCAAAAATTCAATGGATTCCAACCCCAATTTTCCAGAATCCGAACCCAAGAACAAAAATGCAGAAAATTCAAAATTTTGTAGAAGATTAAAACCTAAAAAATCTAGACCCAATGCCAAACAACTCCCAGTCAATTACCCCAACCTCCTTCTCTCCACCTTCTCCTCCACATCGAACTCTGTCTTCTCCTACACGATGGCGGGGCCTCGCCCTCTTGTCCACTCTCTTCACCTTTCCTCCCATCCAAAAACCCACCCCATCCCACCCCACCCCTACCTCCCCAACAACCCCAGCAATTACAACCCTATACTGGTTTTCCATTTCTAGCGCTCCAACCCATCGTCCCCAAATCCCCCTCCAGCTTCTCCCTCCTCAAGTCCACCCTACGCCTCCCCAAAGTAAGCATCTTTTTCCACAATCCCCTTTTCATAATTTCCTATTTTTTTTTTTAAAAAAAAAAGAAAAAAAAATTCAACACAAACCTTCTTTTTCCTCAAACCCAACACAAACCGTCACCAATATCATCGCCCAAGAAGCCTAGAGACGCCAGTTTCATCCGTCCAAGATCTCAATCTCCAACTTGGTGTCATTTCGGGTTCAAGCCCGGCCAAGATCACAGATGTGTATTCACTCACGGGTTGGCCCACTGCTCTAGGATCCAGGTCGATCCGACTTGGAGATATGTACGCTGGAGAGGAGCGAGAGTTGTTAGTTGAACTGAAAGTACCGATTTCCACCACCAACGTGGCTGCCAAATTTGTGGGGGTGGGGGGGGTTGCGGGGGAATTGGAGAGTGGGTTTGGTGGGGTGGGAAAGAAAGGAGGAGGCGGCAGGTGTGGCTGGGAGGTGAAGAGGAAGGAGTGGGAAAGAGAAGTGTGAGATCCCACATCGCCCAGAGGAGTGATCCTTATATGTATATTCTCATCCTTACCTAGTAAGAGGCCTTTTGGGAGCTCACTGGCTTCGGGTTTCGTAGGAACTCCGTAGTTAATCGAGAAGGGGGCTAGAGCAATCCCATGATGGGTGACCCACTAGGAAGTTGCTCGTGAGTTCCCAAAAGCAAAACCATGAGGGAATGGTAAGCCCAAAGAGGACAATATCGTGCTACAGTGGAGTTGGGCCCGGGAAGTGATCCGCCCCGGGTCGGGATGTGACAATTTGGTATCAGAGCCTAACCCTGGTCGCGTGTGTGCCGACAAGGACGTCGGGCTCCTAAGGAGGGTGGATTGTGAGATCCCACATCACCCAGGGGAGTGATCCTTATATGTATATTCTCATCCCTACCTAATACGAGGCCTTTTGGGAGCTCACTGGCTTCGGGTTCCGTAGGAACTCCGAAGTTAAGCGAGAAGGGGGCTAGAGCAATCCCATGATGGGTGACCCACTGGGAAGTTGCTCATGAGTTCCCAAAAACAAAACCGTGAGGGAATGGTAAGCCCAAAGCGGACAATATTATGCTACGGTGGTGGAGCGGGCCTGGGGAGTGATCTGCCCCGAGCCGGGATGTGACAAGAAGGGAGGGGAGGTGAAGAGAGTGAAGGAGAAATGGGTCGGGGAAGATAGGTTTTAG